AATGTTGTCTATTTTTTCCTGAGTTCATTTATCTCTTTATTAATCATGTTCTTTATTTCACTTTGGTGTTTATTCAGTGCTTCTATGGTTTCCTTTATTTCTTCTTTTGCTTTTTCAAATTCTCTATTTTTGTTGTGTTGGTATTTCTTGAATGTCTCCTGTACATTTTGGTTGACCATATCCAGTATCATCTCTATAAAATTTTCATTGATTACCTGTAGTATTTCTTCTTTTAGATTATTCTTGTGGGCTTCATTGTGTTCTTTGGCATAGTTTATCTTCATTTTGTTGGAGTCTGGATCTGAGTATCTGTTTTCTTCATTTCCCTCTGGTTCCTGTGCTAAGTTTTTGCTGTGGGGAAACTGGTTTCCCTGTCTTTTCTGTCTTCCCATCACTGCCCTTGGTGTTGTTACTTGTACTGTGTGCAATTAAGTATCTTCTAGCTTGTAATAATAACACTGGTGATATTTAGAATGGAAGGGTGAGAGGAGATGGAAAGCAAAGAAGTTAATGAAAAAGGGAAAAGCAAATAAACAAGTAGAAAAAACAAAACAAACAGCAAAAAAAGTTTTAAATATATAAACAGGGAGAGATAGTGTACTAATCAACAGTAAGCTGAACAGGCATTAGACAGAGGATTGAAAATAAGAAATAAAAAAAATTAAAAATAAATAAATGAAAAAAGTAAAAAAAAAATATATATATATATATATAAAAATCTCGAAGTTCAAGTGTCAAGTGCAATAAAGTTTCAGTCTTAATAATTTTGGTGTTTGTCCCGCAGCCTCCAGTCCTGGAGATGACGTCTCAGAAGTAGTTCTGTAATTGTCTCATCAAAGAGGAACCAAAACTAATAAAAACAAAACAAAACCAAACAGCACAAAACAAACAAACAAAAAAACTCACAAAGTGTCCCAAATTTCAGTAAGTTTTTCAGCATGCAGGTATAGTTCGGTTATTGTCTCATCAAAGGAAGAGAGAAAAAAATAAAAAGAGAGACTCTGGAGACTGTTCTGTGAATGGCTATCTGCGGCTGTGGCTCACTTGCCTGCTGTTGTTAGCCTGTTGTTGCTGGAGGCATTATTGATTGCAGATCTCAGGAGCAAGCTTAACACTCATGCCCCCCAGGCTTTGTTTACTAGAGTTCTCCTGGCGTGACTTTCACTGCTACAGCCTTTCCCTTTTCCAAGCACACTGGGGGAGGTGACACTGCACTGGCTTTCTCAGGCCTGTGTGTTTATTTACAGCTCATGTGGGAAGTGGACCTTCCCCCCTCTCCTGTGGTGTTTTCCTCCCATCACCACTTTTACAAGCTTTCCCACTCCTGATTGCTGGGTGTGTGCCACAGCTCCTGCATTCTCCAGCCGGCTTGTGAGGGATTCCCCTCCATCCCTTTTCGGGGAGCTCAGGGTGCCCCGCCCTCTTTGCTACTCGTCTTTTTTGTTGTTATTGTTATTATTCAGTTTCTCTTTTTCTCCCTGAGTTGGGGTTGGTCTGTCCAGGGGGCTATCTAATCTGCTCCAGGATTATCTGTGGGAGTACCACTTACTGCTTAGCTCACCTCCTGGTCCGGGTCATCCCAAGCCATCTGGGCACTGGCGTCTGGTGTCTGGTGGCAGCACTGGAGCCCTCCTGGTTTCTCTGTTTAACATGAAGTGGAGATGCTGTGTTCAGGCTGGAGGTGTGGAGGGGTCCAAGTTTTGCTTCTTCTCGGTGGTTTTTCCTGTAATGTGTATCTCCAGCGTCTCTGCAAGATTTTACTTTAGGAAGCACGCTTTCTGCTTCCTCCCTCTAGCTGCCATCTTGGAATTCCTCTGTAGGCTTTTGAAAAGTTTCTCTTTATATTTGGTGTTCTCTGATTTCACAATTATTTATCTTGGTGTGACTGTTCATTCTATCTGCTTCCATGGGCCATTTCATTGGAAGATTTTGTTTCATTCATTTCTGGTAAATTTTCTTCCTCTTTTATAAACAATTTACTTTTTGTGCTTATCTTACTCAGATTTTGACTGATAAGACTGACTTGAAGTGATGTCATATACTGTACTGCTTAGCAACCTAAGCAGATTTTACAGAATGAGATCTCACCTATTGTTTTGTTCTGACTGTTAGCCTGAGGTGCAGCACTGAACAGAAGCAGTCTATATACGGCAGGAAAAGACAGCAGAATATTTTATGTTTTTTCTTTTGCCCTTGAATTCCTTACATAGTGTTTATTTCCTGCTTATTCTTCAACAAAAGTATACAAGTGTTAGAGTTGAAAAAGATGCCATACTCTTGGCTGCATGGTTTCTCTTTTATGTGTGTTCTGGAAAAATTTACAGATCAGTCTCTATACTTAAGGTAATTGTTCAAATGCTCAGCTTCTGTGAGTTTTGAGTCAAATTGCATAAGCAAGGATGTAACCTCATCCAGGGGAGGAAGGCTGCACCATATCCAGATGTCCATGAAACAGGATCTCTTTCTTGGAAAGCAGATTACAAAAGCTCATTTCTGTTGAGTTTCCTCTGTCAATTTCTCTTATTTTTGTCCTTTTGTCATTTTTCCCTTTTGCCTCAAAGTTGGAGATATTTCTTCAACTTAATGAGTTCTTATTCTTATTTTTCCTCAGCTTAGTAGGAAATAATTATCACTTTTACTAGATGGGTCCAGTACATACTTAAGTATTTGTAAAATTTTCATTCATTTTTCAAATATTTTACAGAGGTAAAAATGAAGAAATAATAAAAACATAGCTTTTTAATAAGAATTTAAACATAGAAAACCCACATTTTTATTCCATAATTCCCTGTTTACCTGGTATTGAAGCGATAAATACATAAGATTACAGGGTTTTTTGTTGTTCGCGTGTGTGTGTGTGTGTGTGTGTGTGTGTGTGTGTGTGTGTTTCTTCTTGCACTTGCATCATCAAACAACTTTTGAAAATTTTTACTACTCACAACTTTTTTATATGAAAGGACAGTTGTTTTGCTCCATAATTATAAAACTCTTAATTTTAGATTTGTAAGCATCAAATGTTTAATCTAGTAAGTTTTTAAATGTCTACATCATTATTCCTTCCATTCACCTTTATATATATACTCTTACCTTCTGCATGTTCACAAACCATGAAGTTGCTAGGACATGGAATAGCAGTATATTTCAAGATACAGGAAAAAAATTACTAAAATCTCATAATGTATGTTATATTTATATAGGATACAATACAGCCATGTGATTTTCCAAGTAAAAATGATTTGCTCCGTGTAAAATTTTATCTTTAAACATTGGAAGGCTTAAAACAAAGAAAGAGATGTCATGAAATGACAATCCCTAGAAGAAATAGAACTACTGAAAAAGGAAACTCTCAAACCAAATTTGGATCCAGTGGATTCTGATGGTATATCAAGGAATGAGGATGTAAAATATGTTTACTCTTTTTGAAGATGCTTATTATGGTTTTTATTTCATTTAAAAAAAATTTAGTGTTAACTTTGAGTTATTTCCCCCTCCTCACAGTCAGTTATCTTTTTCTCCTCTCTACTTTCTTTCCTTTCCCTCCTCTTGTTTTCCCCTCTACTCCACCTTTATCCTTCTCCTCTGCTTCCTCCTCCTTTCCCTCCAACCCCACATTTTTGCTTTGTATTTAAAATGCAGGTATGATTCCTTTTAAGTTGTAGAGCTTTATCTCTTGTGCTTTGTATAAGTAGTTCATTTTTCTAACATGTTCAGGAAAATCTGAGCAAAACTAACAGTTTGCATAGGGCATTTTGATTGAAAGTGTGAGTCTCAGGTGAGTGCAGAAGGAACTGCCAATCAGTCTGTATACTTCCTAATATGATGAGAAAGAATTGGTTTCTGGTGTTAACACTCACATGATAAATCTTACCACTTTCCCAGGTAGTCAGCACAGCTTCCTTGGAAAACAGTAGTAATTAGTAAGTTACTGTGCTTGACTGCCCGAGGACATTTTCAGAGAAGTGAAGGTCAGAATGGCTGAGGATTGAAGAATATTTGCTCTGTGTGTAAACTTTTAATTAATCCCCTAATTTCAGCTCCAATTTCCCCACTCTCCATCCCAGTGACTCATTTTCAGTGTAGCCATCTCATACTGTTTTGTGGATTTCAACCTCCTGTCATTTTTATCCCTTAACCATTTACTTCCCCATCTTCCTGAAATATATTGATATCTTCTTTCTTCTTTCCTTCAATATTTTGGGGTGTGTTCTCTCTGTGTCATAATTACTATGGTACAGGGAAGGACAGGAAGTCAACACATTTTCAAAGTATGCAATTTTGTGAAACATATTAAAAGGCAGTTATTACATTTTAATTATCAACCATGTTAAAATTACTGCCTTCATGGAAACTAGAATCATCATTAAATTTTTAATCAGTTTCAAAAACTTTCATTCAAATGTGTAATCTTTTATAAGTGTCTACTAAGAGTCACTGTTATCCTTTTGAATTTTGTTACATAATTTTCTCTGAATTACTCATTTGTATTACACTTTGCTATAAAATCTTATGTTTTTAAAAACAATTTAGTACAGATGTGGCTACCATATTTGCTGCAAATATATTCGTTTGTTTTCACTCCAACTTTTTTTTTAATGGTGCAGCGTATTAAACCCAGGGCCTCACCCTTGAGAGGCAAATATTCTACCAACGAGCTATACTCCAGTCTTCACTCACAGTTTAATTATGTTTATTTTGTGAATTATGTTTTGTTTACTTGAATGTTTATCTACTCCATTAGTTCTAAATTTTGAAGTAGTGAAAAAGTTATTCCCCTCCAGAAAAATTAAGTAGAATCTTTATTTTTGTTTTACTGAACTTTCTAAAATTAATTTTTGTAAATCACTTTTTGCAGTGTATATTGAATGAAATTGTCTCTGTTTTTCATCCTTTTTTAGAAGATTTAATCAAAGGGAAGAATAAAATTTGGTTTTGTGAAGTAAGAATATTATTAAATGCTTTGAAACAGTAAAATTCAGATTAAATATTTTTGTATTTTACAGATTATTGCTCAGTTGTGACAATTGTAGACCAGACAAATGCAAAGCTAACTTGCCTGCTGTTTAGTGGAAACTATGAAGCCCTTCCTATAATTTATAAAATTGGAGACATTATTCGCTTTCACAGGCTGAAGGTATAATTCATACTTTCTAGAACTTGTATTTGTTTGAAGAGAACTCTATACTGTTCACTAATGCAGTAGTAGATAACATTAATTATAAGGTTGCTATGTTAAAATATGACATTAAGGTTTTAAGAGGTAATAAGAAATGTAAATAGTATCAGACCTCAAATAATTTATAATGGGACATGTCTTCATTGAAATAAGTTGCCTATTCTCCTTCCCCAGAAATTTATTAGATGCTCTTATTCAAAGTAGTTCCATCCTTTCTTTTCACCTCCAAATATAGGTTGTTTTCCACATAGAGTTTGATAAGGGACAGGAGTAAATAATCTCATGACTTCTTTGTAGTTAATTTAATCGTTTGTGACAAGGTTCTTGCTGTATTGCTCAGACTGGCCTCAAACTCCTGGGCTCAGGCAATGCTGCCTCAGCTTCCGAAGTATCTGAAACTACAGTCCCATGATTTCTAATACCATGTATTATTTTCATCTGTGTTTGTTGTTTATATTCTCCATATAAGGGATTAGACAGTATGTAGTTTTGGTTTTCCCTTGGTTTTCCTTTTTAAACATCTGGCTCATGGTTGTGTGATTCCACCATATTGCTTGCATGGTTTTCCTTTGTTGATTTTCATTGATAAATGGAATTCTATTATGTGAATGCATCATGCATCATAGTAAATATATTTTATTGTTTTTGAGCATGTAGGTAGTTTCCAGCATGTGGATATTATCGATAGAGGTGTGAACAATCTAGTACATACCTTTTAGTGAATGTAAATATAGATATACGCACATAGACATATTTCAATTGGTTATATACCATGAAGTTTGGTTGCTGGGTTCTAGGAAGTGTTTATATTCACCTTTAGTTTTCAGATTGCTTTTTACCAGTTTGCACTTGCCATAACAACATAAGAGAAATTCATTTGCTCCACATTTTACCAACACTATATATTCTGTTTTAAGCTTTCTTTTGGATGTGTTAGTATCTCATTGTGGTTTTAACATGATTTCATTGAAAATTTATGAAGCTGATTGAGACATTTTCAAACTAAGATATCTTCTGAAATATAAAATGTTTTTTTCAGGTATTCTGCTTATTCTTTTCTTTATCTATGGAAGTGCTTCATATATTTTTGCTACAGATGTTTTGTCAGATGTAGATTGCGGAAAAAAATGTGAATTTGTTTCAGTCTGGTTCATTTTATCCTCTTAATGGTATCTTTTTGTGAACAAAAGTTCTGAATTTTAATGCAGTCTATACTAACGCTTGTTTTTGTCTTATAGTCAGTTTCATGTCCTATTTAAGAATTCTGCCTACTTCTACTTCATAATGATGTCTCCTCAGTTTCCCTTTAAATCATTTATTATTTTCCTGTTTTACATTTAGATGTATAATTTTTTTTCCTGTAATATACTTACCAAATTTTGGAATTAAGATTAATGCCTTATAAGAATGAGTTCTCCTTTATTTTTGGTTTTTGAGGAGTTTGTGACAGTTTCTACCTACAATGCTTGGAACAGTACAAGATTGAAGCTACCTAAGCCTGGAGATTTCTTTGTTCATAGGTTTTTATTAATGAATTACATTTCTTAAGAGGAATGAGTTTATTAAGAAGTATATTTTTTCCTATCAAATTTTTTAGAAATTTAATTTTACATAAGTTTGTCTATTTTATCTAAATAGTTACTTATTATGGTAAAGTTATTCATAATATAACTTATCCTTTAAATGTTTGTGGATTTGAGTTTTTTGTTAGTTCTGGGATTTGAACTCAAGGCCTTGCCCATGCTGGCAAGCACTCTACCAGTTAAGCCACACTCCAATCATTTCTGTTTTAGTTATTTTTCAGATAGGGCCTTGTGCTTTTTGCCAAAGCTGACCTTGGACCATGATCCTCCTACCTATGTCTCCTGTGTAGCTGGAATTTGTGTGTATGCCATCATCCCCAGCTTGTTCTTTGAGATAGGGTCTCACTAACTTTTTTGCTTGGGTTCGCCTGGAACTGCAGTCTTTGCCCTAAAGGTTTTCTTTAGTTGAACAAGATCATTGAAATTACAGACATCTCTCCTAGATAACAGAGTTGTTTGTTTTTCCCCTCCCCCTCAGTTTTATTTTCTTTGTGATTTGGAAAGTCATGGTCTCCTTTTTTTCAACAAGTATTTATTGAGTAACTATTTTATACAGGTTTTTGTTTTTAAACATGTAAGTCAAAATAAATTCAAATGGTATTGGTGGCTACAATGAAGAAAGTAGACAGAATCAGGAAAGGCCTCTAATGAGGCAATATAAGAATCACAGGTGATGGCAATGAAAGTCTTACTGAGATTTGAGGCAGAGCGTTTTCCATTGAATGTCACTATAAGTGCTGAGACCCTGGGATAGCAGTGAGTATAGTATTACATAAACAAAAAGGCCAGCATGGATCCTAATCAGCTGTGGTAGAGAGTGTTATAAAATTAGAGAAGTAGACACAGCTTACGTATGGCATTATAGAAGGTAAGTTGTTTATGTCTTATTATAGGTGCAATGAGAAGTCATTTTAAATGTGAAAACGGAGTGAGTTGAGTAATATTTTGAAAATAGCACTCCTACAAATGCAGGTAACAAATGATTTGTTGAAGGACAAGCATGAAAGTACTATGAGATTATTTTACTGTTAAACTTATTTTTATTGTTACAGTCATGAGATGAGGATGGCTTGGACTAAGGTATTGGCAGAAACAGAAGTAGATAGTCAAAGAGGACTTGTTGATAGAGTAGATGCAAAAACAAATTACCAATACATCTAAGGTAAAAGTTGTTTTTGTCTGTGCTACCTACAAAATGTGCTTTAGATGTGAAGACCAAAACAAGTTGGAACTAAAACTGTGGGAACAAATATACAAAGCAAACAGTGAACACAAGGAAAATGAAGTAACTATATTGCTATCAGACATAAAATCTTAAAAGAGATTTCGGAAGGTGGGGAGGGAGTGTTTTATAAGAAAAAAACAGTCACTTCGTTAAGAAGGTGTAAAATCATGCATTGAATAAGCCTCTGGCTTCAGAAAATGAAAGTTTTCATGGCATGTCTCAGCTCTCAGTCATGCTGATTATACTCTGCTCCCTTCGCACTCTAATATTTACACGTTCTAGTTTTCACTATAACTCATAAATACCTATCACCTAATATCCTTTTTTCTTATGTAAATTATACCTTAATGAAAAACTTAAAAAATAAAATATAAACATACAAACTTGACAAGATTAGGGTACCAACTAACTAGCTCTTTAAAATATAAACACAATTTATATAATATTTTAAAATATGCAATATTTATTATTTTGATATAATACCAGTTTCATATGCTAATTCAATGAAAAAAACTAAAGAATTTCTGTTAGTTATATTGAAAAACTTAATTTCTAGTGTCTTTGGTTCTAGGGTTCTGGCATTGGTAAACTATTTTATCTGTTTTCTACTTTGTGTTCTTAGATACAAGTGTATAAAAATGAGCCTCAGGGTATCAGCAGCCCTGGGTTTGCATCTTTGACATTTGAGGGAACTTTGGGAGCTCCTGTTATTCCTCGTACTTCAAGCAAGTGTTTTAACTTCACTGCTGAGGACCACAAAATGGTAGAAGCCTTACGGGTTTGGGCATCTACACATATTTCACCTTCATCAACATTAGTACAGTTGTGTGATGTTCAGCCAATGCAGTATTTTGACCTGACTTGTCAGCTATTGGGCAAAGCAGAGGTTGATGGAACATCATTTCTTCTAAAGGTACATTTTTAAATACTTAAAATTGTAAGTCAGTACCATCTACATATCTATGAAGAGTTTTCAGCATTCTAATCGAGTATGTTTGCATAATGTATCTTACACTAAGTTCAACTTTAACTTTTTTGGGGGGTGGGTAGTAGTGTGGTTTGAACTCAGGGCTTCATGCTTGCAAGGTAGGTAGTTTCTAGCCTTTTTTGTCTTACTTTTGAGGTAGGGCCTTGCTTTTTGTCCAGACCAGCTTTGACCACTATCCTCCTATTTTATACTCTCATTCCTCCCTCCCCCCGCCATGCTGGAATAACTGCATGCCACTAAGCTCAACTTTTTTCCATTCAGATGGAGTCTCACAATCTTTTTTTGCCCAGATTTGCCTGAAATGCTGTCCTCCAGATCTTGGCCTCCTAAGTAGCTTGGGATGGCAGGTGTAGATCACCACCCCCAGCTATTGATCGAAATGGAGCCTCATAGACTATTTTTCTCGTGCTGACCTTGAACCTTGCTTCTCCTAATCTCAGTCTCCCAACTACTCAGGCTTATAGATGTGAGTACCCCCAGTGCCTGGTTACATGTGTTGATGGGCCTCAGTATTCAAGCAGTTCTACTCAGGTACTTCTGTACTTCCTACATTACTTCAAGAAAAATAGTATTATCAGATCTGTATTTTAAATATAGTATGATTTCTTCTATACTTATTTATTTGATCATAATAAATATAGACTTGTATTTTTTTTTAAGTTTTACTTTTTTATATGAATTTTCTGCCTCCTTGTCAAAGTCAACTATTTTGTCACTCACTCACTTTCTTGGTCTGTGGTTCTCTTCCCATGTCTTTCACGGCCTGCCTCTTAAGTAGGTCTTAGATAATTTAAAATGTATGTTAATTCTTCTTTCATCTGTGTGGAACTGGAGATTGAACCCACAGCCTTGACTTGTTGGCCAAGCATGCTACCACTTGAGCTACAATTCCAGCTCTTTTTATTCTTGTTATTTTGTTTTTAAATCAGTAAAGAAATAAAAAGGTGACATAAGAACCGTGCAGTGTTTATTTACACCTACCCTATTAGCTCGTGAGTAACCTCAGGAAGGAAGTCACAGGTACTCCCTGTGTGGCTGTTCTGCAGAGGTTGCTGTACAGTACCAGTCACCATGGTCCTGTGCTTCAGTTCTGCCCTTTGTTTGGAAGAAGTCAAGAAGCAGTGCTGTGGTGAGGGGGAGGTAGGCCAACTAATGTATACACATATAAGTAAATGTAAAAATGATAGAATTAAAAAGTAATAAATAATAAAAGAAAAGAAAAAGGAGCAGTGCCATGGCATTTGGACATGTTTTAGGGCTTACCATTGTTATCATTTACAGCTTGATCATATTAAGGAATTGAACAATAGGAACCACTGACTAAAATAGGAAGTTTTTGGAATTGAAAATAGCACTTTATATACAAATGGAATACTATGAAAAAGCAAATGCATACTATAAGGGAAGTTAAATAAGTCAAGTTTGTCAAAGTTGGAGCTAAAATAGCATAAAATCATACAAAATTAGAAGGAATTTTAGGTCAGCCAATCATGCTTTCTGTCCAAAGTGTCATTTTTAACAAGTGAGCATTTGCTAACACTGAACACTTTCAGAAACAGACACTATACTTCTGTGTAGAACACATCTTTTGACTGCTATGCTAGAAAATTCTTAAATTCTGAGATAAAAACTGGCACCCTTTAGCTGACATTGGTGAATCTACATTTTCTCTCTAAAGTAACAATGTATGCCTGCATCCCATTATAATAGGTAGCTTTTGGAAATAAGGTGGAACAACTTTCAAGTAGCTGTTTTTTTTTTTTTTTTTAAATATAGCCTTGAGAAGTATATTTGAGAAAGTTAGTGAGGTTTTCTTGAGGACGATTTGAAAATAAGTCTCAAAAGTCTTTGTGTATTCTTTGACAATTTTATTTTCATTAATTTGTTTTAAGGAAATAATTTTATAAAATTGTATGAAAACACATTTAGGACTAGAAGTGTGGCTCAAGTGGTAGAGTGCCTGCTTTGCAAGTACAGAACCCTAGTGCCACCATTTAAAAAGAATATTTATCTTTACCAAAACTTAAAGATAGCTCACGTAGTAACTGTAGAGTTTGAATTTTGTGAATCATTTATGTATGGTAAAATGCTCCTACAAAATGAGGCTGTAGACATCTACTTGTTAAGATAGACTTTAATAATTGTTTATTTAGTGAGCAATATAGTTTCATTTATATACTAAGAGTATAAACAGCAAAAAAATATTGGGAAGCATAAATAACAGTATTTTACTGTTGTCTCTGGGAAGTAGAATTATAACTTTCTGATTCTGATTTTCTTATGTATCTGAAATAATTTTTAAATTATTTTTCAAAACAGAATGACGTACACATCACTGCACAGGATATTTAGTCCAAATTGCAAAATAGTAAAATGGTTTCTTTTTTTTTTTAATCTATTTATTCACATGGTTTCCTTTTTTAACTGGTCTCTTTTCACTTTTTCAATAGCTATGTTTTGTTAATGGTTTGCACTAAGAAAATAAGTTAATAAATCTTTAGACATAACATTTTTCTACTTTTTAAATTCTGTTTATACAACTTGTCTTCTGAACAAAACCTTTAAATTCAATTTTAAGTATATTCTATTTATTATCCAGATAGTTGTTACTGCCTCCTCTTTTAAGTATTTTTGTTTGTTTATTTTGCTTTATGTTTGTTTTTTTTCTAAGTAGCCAGAAGTCTTGCATAGCCAGAACCAGTGGGTAATTTGTATGTCTCATCTGTAATGTGGTTTGGAGAACAGAAAGTAATGTAGACCTGAAAATCATCATATTAAAGAAACTATTCAACTTTTTTTTTATTTTATTTATTTATTTATTTGCAGTATAGGGTTTGAACTCAGGGCCTCTACACCTTGAGCCACTCTACCAGCCCCACCAGCCCTTTTTTGTAAAGGATTTTTTTTCTTTTTTTTTTTTCCTTCGATATTGGGACTTGAACTCATGGCCTACACCTTGAGCAATTCTGACAACCCTTTTTTGTGTTGGATATTTTTGAGATAGGATCTCACGAAGTATTTGCCTGGGCTATCTTTGAACCCCAATCCTCCTGATCTCTGCTTCTTCAGTAGCTAGGATTACAGACTTGAGCCACCTGTGCCTGGCTAAAATTATTCAGATTTGCAATATTTACTTCATTGTAGTAAAGGAATTCTGCATAATTAAGAATTAAACTAAATTTCACATAAATAATTTATTAATGTCAAATAAATAAATTGCTATTCTAATTCTTATAGAAACTATTTTAATACATAATGATTTTTGTCAAGATTGTTTTGATTTGTTTATATTCTGTGAACACTTGACTGAGGAGTTAAATCTGCTTTTAAAAAACCAGTTAAATACATTCCTGTTGACTATTTAAAAATTGTATAATTCTTTCAGACTTAAATGTAATAATTTTTACAGGAATATTTATAATTCAAAGATAAAGAATTTGAACCCTAAAATAAGTCTTATCATAGAAAAATTAGTATAAATATTTATTCCTACAAAGAGAGTTCATGAAGTGTATTATTTTGATTACCAAGATATAAATGTAAGCATTTAGTACAAACCAAAACAAAGATGTTAACAAAAGAAAAATACTTCCCCCAAGTACAGTTAGTTGTTTCAAAGAGAAATGAATTATAATTATCAAGAATATAGGGCCTGGGGCTGGGTATATATCTCAGTGGCAGAGCACTCACCTAGCAGTAGGGACTGGAGATACTGTTCAAGTGGTAGAGCAGCCTACCTAGCAAATGCAAGGTTCTGAATTCAAACCCCAGTGGCGACAAAAAGAGAGAGAAAGAAAGGAATGTAACATGAGGCAGGAGCAGAGGCTTTCACCTGTAATTCTAGCTACTTGAAAAGCTGAGATCAGGAGGGTGGCAGTTCTAGGCTATCCCTGGCAAAGAGTTCATGAGACTTCATCTCAAGGGGAAAATCTAGATGTGGTGGCATGTACCTGTCATCCCAGCTATGCAAGTGTAAAATAGCAAGATTGTGGCCTGGGTGGGCTGGGACATAAAGTAAGACCCTGTCTCAAAAATATCCAGCTCAAAAATGGTGGAATGCATGGTTCATGTGGTACAGTATTGCCTAGCTAGTGCCAAGCCCTTAGTTCAAAATCCCAATACCACAAAAATTATACATGTCTTATGTATGTGAATGAGGACAAAATAAAGAATGTGACCAGAGAGATACTCAAAAGACAAAACTCAGAACCTTACTTGTGTTTGTGAACAACAAAAAAGGAAAAGCATAGAATAGAATAAACCTTCACATTAAGAAATTGAATGAACTAACAGAACTACAGAGAGATTGATAAAAGTTTCAATAGAATCTTTAATGTTTGGACAGATAATTTTAACATTGCTTAGAAATTTGTATGTTTTGCTTTGCCACTTTCCCTTGTTTGCATCTTCATTCTCTTCCTCGAAGAAATAAGTACCTACACAAACTAGTTTAAGTATTTTCTCAGACATATTTAGTGCATGTGCAAATGTATACTTTTTCTCTTTTTGTACACACATAGTTGGACAGTGCAATTCCGTATTCACAGGTTCTTCACCCTCTGATTCAACCATGGGCAGATGAAAATATTTTTGTAAAAACCATGCATCTATACTGAACATGTATGGACTTTGTTTTTGTCATTATTCCCTAAACTATACAGTATAGTAACTATTGACATAGCATTACATTATATTGATTATTATAAGTAATCTGGAGAAGATTTTAAAGCACATGGAAGGGTGCATAGCTTATACTGCCAACGCTATGCCATTTTATATAAGGAACTTGAGCATCCTCATATTTGAGTACCCATGAGGGTGTCCTAGAACCAGTCCCCTGTGGATATTGAAGAGCAACTGTACACATATTGATCTGCAGTTGCTTTTTTCTCTTAATTCTGTGTTGAGAGTTTTCCATAGTGTCACCTAAATTGCTCCCACTTTAGTTTCCTTAGACTGTCATAACAAAGTACCATGATGGCTTAAAATGGCAAATATATTTTCTCTCACAAATCTGGAGGCTGTATGTTTGAAACCACAGTGTTACCAAGGCCACTGTCCCTCCTTCAAGAACTCTAGAAAAGAATTACTCCATGCCTCTCTTCATAGGTTCTGGTGACGGTTGGCGTCCATAGCATTCCTCACTTTGCCAGTTGTTATTCTAGTATCTGTCTTTGCTGTCAAGTGGCCTTCTCTGTGTTTCTTTCTGAATCCCGATTTTTCTTTTATTATAAGAATACACAGACATTGTTGAACTTTGGGCTCACTTTCATCAAGTATTCATCAAATACGATCTTATGTTAACTATTTACATTTGCAGAGCCCCTGTTTCCATTTAAGGACCTCTCCTCAGATTCCAGGTAGACATGAACTAGGGGAAATACTAAACTGATTTGTATTTCGTCATATGAGTATACAGCATGATTATTTTAACTTGCATCCTGGAGTAGGTGCACTTTAAGTTTTGATTTTTAAGATTCTGTTCATAGAGGTAATGAATACCCTTTTAAGCAACTCCAAGTCATGTATAAAAGTATCTGTCACCTAATAGTAAACTGGTTTTATATGCAAGATGGACATTACCAAATTATTTATTTGTTTATTTTTGTATTGCTGGGACTCAAACCCAAGGCTGTAAACATTGCATGCCAGGCAACACTTTTCACCACTGCGCTACATCCCCAATTCATGAATTATTTAAAATAGCAAAAAGTTTGAAACAATCCAACTGACTAATAAAGACTGCTCAAATAAATTTGTGTCTGTCCATAAACTATAAAAGATAAGGAGAATGTAAAGCCAGTTTGTCTAAACAAATTTAAAAATACATATTATGTATATAAACATGAAGTCAAAAGTAGATTAATATTTTGGGCTCATCAGAGTATGACTTTTTTTATATTCTACATTTTTCCAATTATCTTTAGGTCATGTTTATAATCACATTACATTTAAAGTACTACAACTATTTAAAGGCATTTGTTTAATTTTTATATAATAGTATCACTAAAATAAAACTCTTTGCTCCAATGTTTTTCATAAAGATATTAAACTTTTCTCTGTCTTCTTGTGGTAGGTGTGGGATGGCACCAGGACACCGTTTCCATCTTGGAGAGTCTTAATACAAGACCTTGTTCTTGAAGGTGATTCAAGTCACATTCACCGACTACAGAATCTGACAGTAGACATTTTAATCTATGATAACCATATTCAAGTGGCAAGATCCCTGAAGGTGAAGCTGAATTGCAAAAATGCTTGCTACTTTGTTTATACAGTATTTGTTGTGGGGTTTTTTTGTGATTTTTGGTATTTTGGTGCCAAATGATTACATTTACTGGTGATATTTGGAGTCTTAAAAATTCAAGTTTATTTTTCTTGAATTTTAATTTATAAATTGTGTATCTAAAATGTTATTAAAAGGTACAATGGACTTTTTATTTAAAAAATTATGAATATCTTATATCCATACATAATTTTACTGTGAAATAGTAAAGAAAATTTTGTCTTTTAAGAAATGCTGCTTTAAAATTAGAAAAGATATATAAAATATTAACTTACACAATTTGCTTATTATCTGGGGGAATTTCCTTATAGTTTTTTAGGTAAAATATAAAAATATCAAATTTAAAATGTGGCAATTTTTCTTGAATTAGTAAATTGTAGGGAATGTTTTCTTCATTGTAATGTACCTTTTATTTGTAACTATTCTGTAGCAAATAATGGTGTCTTAAGAAATCAGAGTAGCATTGGCAAGGCACATCGTGTGTGCTTGGTACTATTCGGAGGGAGCAGTGCTGTTGTTATCCCACTCGACAGAAGAGAAAGTGAGGCATTCAGAGGTTTAGTCAACTGTCCAAGATTCTGGCACTAGTTGTATGAAGCTAGTGATGGAATCCACCATGTCTGTTTCCAGAGTTAATCCTTTCAAACACTAAAAGGAAATAATCTTCTTTACTGCAAATATCTTCCAGCCCATTTATAGGACGTTGAAAGGAAAACTAGTAAAGGTTCAGATAAGCATTTCAGTGCCCATTTCCTTTTATAAAACAAATGTCCATGAAGAAGAAAATATTTCCACTTTCACATTGTATTAGAAATAAAGTCACCTAACTCAAATCAGTAAGTTAAAGCTCCAGAAAGCTAATAAGTATCCTTTCTTGTCCTTTGTAAATATGTGTGTGCTTGTGACATATCAGGAAAAATGGACTATTCAAGACTTTCTTTGGTGCTTTCCTCTGAAAGTTACTACCTGCATTGATTAGTTTACTTGGAAAGCAGGAATAATGACAAATCCAAATCTGAAGGGATTTTTAATACAGAGTTCTTTTATGAATAAAAAGGACTTAAAATTTTAGATTCACCTCAGTTCCACACTCTGCATTTTTTACTTTGACCATTTTAATTCCTGTGCAGCTTTCATAGGTCTTTCTCTTTCCGCTTGCCCTTTAGTCCTGAATAGTACTTAACAAGGACTTTGCATATAACAATGATAAAACAATATCTGCTTATTAATCTGTGAATCAGTGAGTGTTGACATTGTTTTAGAAGTTTATTTTCAGCTTCTTTATTGTCCACTAGAGGGTGATAAGAGCACACAATTAAGAAAATATGTGGCATGTCCTTTCTCTGTATTATTTGCAGTGGATTATGAAAATGAAAAAAAAAAAATCCCTGTGTGTAATATAACCTTAGACTGCTACTTAGTGTACATTTAATCACTTATTTATTTTTTGACCAACTTTATAACATTCACATTAATTCAGGAATTCTTCAGTCACATGACATTGATACAAATGCATTCTTAGCAACACTTCATGTCAACTTTAAATTTTCATTTTCTTTGATAGTACTGGAGTTTGAACTCAGGGCCTTATGCTTGTTAGGCAAGCACTCTACTGCTTGAGCTATGCCTCCAGCCCTAAATTTGTATTTTTATGTTAAAATACTTGGGACAAATTCAAAGATTATATTAGGAAAAATGTACTATTTATTGAAGGGGATAATTAATCACAATTATAAAGTATAATATACCCAACTTCTATAAATAATACATTTTATAGTCTAAATCACATTTAACTCTTCTCTAAATCTTGCTTTTTAAATAAATCATGACATTTCCAAAACATTTTACACAGAAATATAGACACATTTCATATCTTTTATCTAGAAGTTAAAGTCATATTTTTAAATACCCAGTTTTTCTTGGCACAATTTTTAAAATAATTGTAAAACATACATAGACATAATTTTGTTTTGGCATTCAGTGGCCTAATAGCTATAGTTTGACTGTTTTGAGATCACAAAATTAAAAACATTATCTCTAAAGCAAAATTCTTGATGGTTTACAGAGCTTGTTTACATTTTTTCTAAAGAAATAGTGACTTAACAGCCACACTTGCTTTTTTTTAGTGTTTCTGAATTGAGCTAGATCTTTATAAATTTTTTAAACTATACTTTTGTAATTTTGATTATGATTCCTTCACTTGTATTTTTAGAATCTTACTGCTTTATTGGCAATTGCTTTTTGTAATAGAGCTTCAGGTACATTTCATAATATATTTAGTTAAGCTTAAAAAAAATACAACAGTGCCTCCAGAAGGAATATCTGATAACAGTTTCTCATCTTTAATCTACAGTCTGGTCATATACATAAATTTCATTCTGACCTGTAAATTTTGTTTAATAATGTAGAGAAGGGGTATAATAAACACACTTATGTACTGACCATTTAAACTTATTTCTATATATCTTGCCATATTAATTACAGGTACTTTGGGTTTCTTCTTTTGTTTTTTTGAGACAGGATCTCACTATGTAACTCAAACTGGCCCGAAACTCGAGATCCTCTTGTCTCTACCACACAAGTGAATTGAATTTAAATATTAATTTGAGGAAATACTGTTGTAATATCAAAGCTTTAAGCTGTAAATATAGGGTCTTTCTTTGTTGTTTTGGCCTTCTTTCAAGTCTTTTGTAGTTTATAGACCTATCTGCTATACTAGTATATAATGAAAATTTAATGAGCATTCAAGACACACATAATACAAAAATAGAAATTGTTATATTTTCTTGTAGTAGTTCACTTTTGGGGACCATGAAAAATGAGTTTTATCTTCTTTTTTGTTTTGTTTTTTTTCTTTCCATTATTTCTGATTCATTCTATCTGCCTCCTTAGCTATGATGTAGAAATAAGTAAAGGAAGTCATAAGAGAAAAGACTAGAGATACTTCCTTCTACCTTACTTCCTCCCCACAAAACATAATGGGACTAAGGAGAAAAGAAAAACCTTGGGAGCAAAGGAGATGTAGAAATGAGAATAATGTCTATTTCTCCCTTTCTTTCTACAAGGAAAAAAGCTAAAATAAGCAGAAATGGACAGTTGATTTGCTACTAATCTTTTTTTCTTTTGTTTTTGTATTTTCCTTTATGTAACTTTTCTATTACATGCAGTAATATTACCACTGTCAAGCTGAATTTGTAGGAAAAAAAGGGAGAAAGTAGCCTCTCACCCATCTAGCAATCAGGAGTGCTGTTTTTATGCAAATCAATTTACTTTCCTAGTTTTGTTTATAAATTTTCACAAAAATAATTGTGATTTAGGTTGTTTTATCTTCCTTTAGGTAGATGCCAATATCTTTACTATTCTACATCTCTCTCATTTGTAGTCTTTACTGAAAGAGAATCTTAAATTCTGTACAATTAAAAATGTTTTTAGACAAAGCACAGCAGCTACAGAACATTCAGTATAAAACTCTGGTTTTGAGTTTTAGGTTTTTTGGGGGAAGGGTGGTACTAGAGTTCAAACTCAGGGCTTCAGTTTATTAGGCAGGCACTCAGCTACTAAAGCCAAGCATCCAACACTTTTCCTCTGGTCATATGTGAGACAAGTCTTACCCAGTGGACCTCCACCATGATCCTCTTATTTTCTTTTTTATTATTATTATTCACATGTGCATACAATGTTTGGGTCATTTCTCCCCCCTCCCCCCATCCACTCCCCCAACCCTCTCCCTCTCCCCCCCACCCCCTCAATACCTGGCAGAAACTATTTTGCCCTTATCTCTAATTTTGTTGAAGAGAGAGTATAAGCAATAATAGGAAGGAACAAGGGTTTTTGCTAGTTGAGATAAGGATAGCTATACAGGGCATTGACTCACATTGATTTCCTGTGCGTGGGTGTTACCTTCTAGGTTAATTCTTTTAGATCTAACCTTTTCCCTAGTTCCTGGTCCCCTTCTCCTATTGGCCTCAGTTGCTTTTAAGGTATCTGCTTTAGTTTCTCTGCATTGAGGGCAACAAATGCTAGCTAGTTTTTTAGGTGTCTTACCTATTTTTTTCAAGCTGAGTTGACAGCTGTATGCATTCGCATCTAGCTTTTTCTGTTGAGATGGGGTGTTGCAAACTTTTGTTGCCTGGGTTGACCTGGAACTGTGATCTTCTCAGCATCCTGCATAACTAGGCTGGCATGTGTGCCCAGCTTTTTCTGTTGAGATAATGTCTTCCCTTGGGCTGGCCTGAAACTGAGATCCACCTGATCTCAGTCCTCCCAAATAGCTAGGATTATAGACATGAGCCACTGGCACCTGGCAAAAGCTCTGGTTTAATCCTGTATTTCAACTAACAGAGTGTATTTCACACAAATATGGTACAAACACAAATGCTTTATTACAAAAGTTTTCTTTCTACAGAAATTGTGGGAATGTGATAATGTTTATTATTTTCATACAGTTGTATTTAATATTTTTTCTGTTACCTCATGAAAGTATTTTAGTGGTCATATTTAATTAAACTTAATTTAGTTAAAGCAAGTTATTTTGAGAAACAATTAAATGGAGGCCTTGAATTTCATTTAGGTAGACAGTTTCTTCACTATATTTTATTTATGTTAAGACAGTGTTCTTTTTCACATTTTAGTATATCTTAACAGTTGAATTGTGTATGTGTGGCATGCGTATGAGTGTGTGCACTTGCCTGTTCATGTGTATACATTTTGATTTGATAATGGAACCCATGAAGCTGATTTTCAGCCATCCTGGTACAGCACACCTGTTATCTTTTGTGATTAGGCAGTGTTCTTTGTTGTTTTCGGTCATTGCCGTATTGGTTGTAAAGTTTTCAAGAATCAGGAATTAAATTTTCCCCCTCCTTGCAAATAATGAATAATTTGCTTTTAGGTTGGAAGCTTTCTCAGAATCTATAGCCTCCATACCAAACTTCAGTCAGTGAATTCAGAAACTCATGCTTCATTAAGTTTAGAGTTTCATCTCCATGGAGGTACCAGCTATGGTCGAGGAATAAGGGTTTTGCCAGAAAATAACTCTGATGTGGATCAACTGAAAAAGTAAGCATTTTATATCTGTATTTAGAAAATTTAAATAAGTTATTCATTAAGCTAATTTGTAAGATAGTATGTCCTGCATGGAAGTGCTCTGCTAGGGTCTTTGTGTGATTCCACAGAGCCTTCTTTGCCTTTTTCCACCTCCTACTTTTGCCCACACCCTTACCCCTAACCCCAGACCACCCTCACTTCCCACACACACTCTGGGGATCAAACTCTTGGGCATGCTAGGCTCATGCTCTACCTACTACTTAGCTATATTCCTGGCCCTATGTCCATATTTTTTAATAGATGAACAAAATGAAACCAAGTGATTTCAAGTCAAAGAAGGTAATTAGTAGCAAAACCAGGGTTGTAATCTGTTTTTCAACAATTAAAATTAACTTTTTACCCTCCAGTTCTTCTTCCATTTGTGTCAAATAGCAGTAACTGTATTTTAGCCAGCAGAATGGAAAACTTGATAATATATCTAGAATTCCAAAATTACTTAATCCTGCCATGCAAAAGATTTACTCTTTCTGAAGTAGCCTGTTATTAAATTGGTAACAGAAGTGTTTTAGTATGTCACATTTTTAAAACTTTAAAATCTTTAGATGAGAAAGTAAATAGCATCTTAAATCCTGCTGTGTGTACGTAGCTCTCCTTTTCTTGAAGTATTTCTAATGGGTACTGTGAAAAACATTTTCTCCAGTATGCTAGAAGAATAAGAAAAAACTTCTGTATACTTTCAAACAGATAGAAAACATACTTTTCTATAAATTGAGATTAAATAACTGTGTCATCTGAATTTTGCTTGTCCTTAAAATTAAAAAAACTTCAATTTTTCACTCAAATATGTAGCAACATGGTATTTATTTCATTTCTTAAATCTAGAGTGAGATGGTTTTAACTCAGAATGTCATCCATTGAATACACAGTTTATTTTTGTTTACAGTGTTTCATTTTCTCACTGTTGCACTTGTGTCATTCTAACCTGAGGTTTTCATTTTCAGGATTTTGGAGCCCTCAGACAATCTGAAAAAAAGCTGCAGATTATTTACTAAAGAACACAAACATGGTTTTATGAACACTTTCAGTGAACTCTGGATTTCATAGATAGAACAAAGGTTACTGTATTGACTTTGTGTTTTTCAATTTGAAATTATATTATTTTTCTGTTTTAGAGCTTTAGAATCTGCAGATTTGACAACCAGTCCTCGTTCAGATGTTGTATATCAACCAGAACGTGAGGACAGCTTGCTAACCCTTTCAAGTAAGACTGTATTTACATTGACAGTTTAGTTCCTATTAAATACAATGGGTTTATCACCATCATTTTATTTTTTAATGTCTTCCTCCCATCTCTTTAATTTATACATATGTGTGTATGTATGTGTATATAATGTATATGTATGTTTGCACATATATATGTATATGTTGTATAAAGGAATACCCTAAACATTTATGTATATACTATGCTTACCTTTGCATAGTATATACATCCCTAATATATAAATATATAACTGCATTTTCAAATTAGAATAGTGCTATGTTCTCATAAAAAAAGCTGTATGAACTTTCTAGGCAACTATTTTTCTGGTCATTCTCTGAAAGGAAATATTTTATTTTGTTTGTGCTGCTTTATTTCAGAAAGCCCACCTATTTTTTGCTAGTATACATCTTAGATGTATACATCGTAGATGTATACTTAGTTCCCAGTCATTATTGAGTTAAGTGTCTAATTATATGATATTAAGGAACATAGAAAGTATATTTATATTGTTGTCTAACTGCGTAGGTGCTGTTCAAATGTAAACCTTTAAAGATCTCAATATACAGTATTTTCCCCTTTTTTCCACTTTGCCTTAATATCTGGTTGGGCATTCTGAGTTCTAGAATGTAGGTCATGTTTTTAATCCCATATTCTTTTTCACAATTCAACTCCTACACTACTATGATCCAGATAACTATTTTATGGGTATTTACTCTCTTTGTATACCAGTAATGATACACATGGAAATTAACAGGTGCTTCTTGGTAGACACTTAATAAATGCCTGCATGCATTATTATTTAATCCTAACAACAGTCCTATAATGTATTATTTTCTCGTGTACAAAGAAACTGAAGCTTTGATTAGCAGGCACCCTATAATTTGCCCATAATTACTTGGCTGTTAACTGATAACAAAAGCAAGTTAAATTCAAATACAGACTATTCAGTTTTTTGTATATATTTTCTCATGCTCTCTGTCTTAAAACTCCCCATTTCCTAGTACTTTGGCAATGGCATTTTGCTTTCTTGCTAAGGTCCTGTTTTGTGATTATCTGCACTAATTTGTAGTTAAATTTTATTCAATTGATAATCATTTAGAGACAGTAGAATTTGTAATTATTATTTATTCCATTTATTTTTTTCTTTTTAAAAGGATTATATCTTTTATTTTTAAATTGCAAAGTAACAAAGTTGAGTAGCTTTCTCTGTGCCTCTGTGGCTTGTTTCCTTATGTAAGCTTAGCAATTTAGTGTGATGCCTTTGATACCTTTGTTTCTATAAAGTTATATACCTGCCTATACATAAAGAAATAAGGCTTTCCTCTTTCTTACATTTTTACCAAAATGAAATCATACCATAATAGTTGATTTCTTTAATAGTATAAATAGACCTCTTTCTAGGCTGATCCATATGGGTCAAACTCATTGCTCTAAACAGTTGTACAGCATGTCATAATGTAGGTATAACATTACTGTTCATTACTCTTCAGCCACTCACCATTTGATAGACATTTAGATTGTCACGAGTGTTTTGCTTTTATGAGTGACACCTTAATGACATTGAGCATTTTTATTTCTGTGCTCTTATTTCTCAAACTAGCAACAACACCATGTTTTTCTTTTTATCTTTTCTCTTCTGCAAAATTGGAGAACAGGAGGGTGAAACAGGTCCTGTCCTGGGGGAGGGTTGGCACTGGTCTAAGGTGGCAGGGAAAGAGGGCAAGAGAGTGAATATGTTGCAAAAAATGTGTACACATGCACGTAAATACAAAAATGATACCTGTTGTAACTATCCCAGGAATTGGGGGTGGGGGGGTAAAAGGGAGTGGTGGAAGTGGAAGGGCTGAATTCAAGTATCATACAGTTGATACATTGTACGAACCTTTGTAAATGTTACGGTGTACCCCCACCCAGCACAACAGTAAAGGGAAAAACCTAAAAATAAAAACTCCTAAAAGTAGAGTTGATGTATCAGAGAATAGGCAAATGTTTAATTTTAATAGATGCTGCCATATTATTTACACAAAAGATCAGAGGAATTCATGCTCACATAGCATTGTGGGATAAGACCTTCCCTCACACCCGTGCAGTATTAACCCGTGCGGGGTTAACCGTGTATGTACCTTTTGGACAGTGTGACAGGTAAAGGATAGCATCCTATGCTGTATTCCTGGTTACGCAGAAACTTGAAATTCTTATATATTTAGCAGCTCTTACTTGTTTTTCTCTGAATTACTGTTTTACAATTTTTCTGATTTTCAGTCAGATTCTTTACCTTTTCCTATCAATTTGTGAGGGACCATTTATGTATTTTACGCATTTTTTCTTATTTGACCTCTTATGGTTTCTGCATTGTTTCCATTTCATTTTGGAATTACAGGTATTAATTAATAAGTCAAGCCAATGGAATTGCAGTGTGTCAGTCTGCGATGTTCTCTTACCTTGGGTTCTCACTCTAGTGATGCTGAGGAGGAAGAACTAATTAAGCAAGTGTTGTGTATAATGCTTCATAAATTATAAAAACATACTACCATAAAAATTAAAGCTAATGTAGTTGCAAAGTATACTTTTTAAATCTTAAGTTCTTCATTTGTGAATTAGAAAGTATTTGGTAAGTTATTGCTGTAATTTTGCTTTCTTAATTTCCTACTTTATGCAATTCATCAAGTCATTCTATTACTTTTAATAAGTTCTGTATTTTCTCACTTATCCATTTATTGCCTCCACAATTTTTTTCAACATAATAAAAAGGTTTTAACATACAGAAAAGTGAGTACTCACACATCTGCCACCTAAGTTCTCTAATTAACATTATACTTTATTTGCTTTGTCACATATATGTCCCTCTCTGAATTCCTCCTTCCTTCATCAGTCTGTATACTCGATGGTGCATTGCAAAGTAAGTTGCAGATACAGGTAAACCTCCTGAACACTTAAATATGAACATAATTAATTAACATTCAGTAGTTAAAGGTTCTTTTTTTTAATTTTGAAATCAAGTTACATGCAGTGGAGTGACAGTTCACCATTTCATGGATACATAAGCGTGTAGTCTAAATCCCTAAAGATTTTTCTGTTTTTGAACTTTAAATAAGTGGAATCATATGTTATGTACTCTTTTGTACACACTATATATATACTGTTCATAAATCAGTTTGGTTTTTTTTCATGCTTTGTGATATAGTGTGAGGTAGACATTTCTCTTTTAAGCAGGAACTTCTTGTTCTGTTAGCACCTTTTCATTGTCAGTTCATTGTTTTGATAGAAATCAAATGAGCGTAAATATGATTATTTCTGGGCTTTCCATCCATCACTTATTAGTATATTACAGAGTATGTATCCCTCCCATACTTATTTCTGGTTTTTGCAGGGCCATTTCTTGAAAACAAATTTGTTTTCACTATGCATGATCTTGTTGCTTTTGTCTATAATCAAATGATGATGTAAATGTGGGCTTTGTTCTAGGCTCTATTTAATTCTGCTGATATATTTGTCAGTCTTTATATAAGCACTATATTGTCTTGATAACTGTGTCTTGAAGTCATGTAGTATAAATCCTCCAATGTTCCTCTTTTTCAACATTTTATTCAATATTCCAGGTTCCTTGCATTTCCCCTTACATGATAGAATAATCTGCTTGTCAAATTCCATAATACAGTTATACAATTTTGATTAGGATTGCATTGAATTTACAGATAAATTTGGGGAAAATTGTTATTATAACTGTGTTGTGCCTTCTAAATCATGAAGGTCACATGCCCCAACATTTATTTAGATTTTCTTTAATTTCTCTCAGGGGCTTTTTGTATAGTTTTCAGTGCAACATTAGATTTGTATTGGACTTAGTAACTGCAATTCTTTCTTCTTTTCTCCTTCCTATAGGCTCTGGATCAGTATCACTATATGAGGTAGAAAGATGTCAACAACTGTCTGCTACAAGTAAGACCTTGTATCATTTTTCACATAGGACACAGTGCAGTAATGATCATATTAATCAACCAGTTCCTTTTTATCTAATAGTGTCAGCGGATATCCGTAATAACAAATCTCTTTAACTTTTATTCCTCTGCCTCATCCTATATTGGTATAAAATGGAGCACATACAGATAAATATCTCTAACTTGAATACATATATTAAATCACCGATCCTTGAGGTCTATTAAAATGTAATTACATTGAAGCATATTACTAGCTTAAAGGTGTAAAATATACTTTTGTGGATAATAATGTTAATCAATTCATACTTTGTATTTAAGTGTGCTTGTAAAGATTCTCCTTGTAATACGCCCCAAAACTTTGTTAGAAGTAATAGTTTATCAGGCACACTCCTTCCGTTACTTCAGTTAAGATAAAGAAACTTTCAGAAAAATATTTTTAAGCACAGTTAAAAATAAATAAAATATACTTTGATAAAAATATGAGTTTCTTATTGGGGAAAGGAAATATAAGCATGGACTGTGAGAAGGCTATTTGAAGACTTGTGTTGTACTGGTACTGAAGGTACTATATACTCATGCTTTTATGCATAAACACACCACTAGTTACAGATACATGTCTGTGTGTCATGTGTATATATATTTATATATATATATATATTTATATATTCACACCTATATCCCTAAATATGTAAGTCTGTTTGTATACATACAGATCAGCAAGTACCTGTGTGCACATTTACCTACTTGTGTCTGAAAGGGCATAGAGGCAATGGCACTCCAGTAGCAATAAGCATACCTCATATGCAGATCCTGTTTTATAAATAATACTCCAGAGGTCCTTGGAGAGTAACAGATTCCAGGGCAAGGAAAGGGAAATTACAAGATGAATTTGCAACATCTTGTAGTACCAGAAAATAAGGAAATTCTCAGCTAATGATAGAACATACCAAATCTGGAGCAATTTGAGCATCAAAATAAATAATGTTCATGATAGCTTAGAACTCATTGGAAAAAACTGGGAATGAATAAACCAATGTTGTTAATGCCCAAGACAAATCAGTAGAGCTGAATGAAAAGCTAACAATTAAGGAACAATGAAAACATCACCATTTTACAACCATAATAGTTAAGTATTGACTTAGTTGTGAATCAGGGACTCCTAAACTGTTGAGATCCTAAATGTTTGTTGAAGAATAGGATATATTCGCTTTCCAGAATAAGCTCTTGTTAGTTACAAAGGGGGGAAAATTGTGGGTTTGGATTAGAGAAACCTGGATACCACCTTAACCAGCTGTATAAATTTATATCCCCTCTAATGGAAGCACTGGTTCTTTATATCTCTTGGTGTTATATACTAAGATGCATACAGCATCACATATATACACTTTCTGCCAAAAATGTGTAATTGAACCTGAGCAAGAGGTAAAAACAAACAAAATTATCCTGTATCAGCAAAATATAGCTCATGAAAAACAAAAAACAGCAACAAAAAACTGGGGAACCATTTCACATTTAAAATGTCCATGAAGGAATAAAAAATAAGTGCAATGTAAGGTTCAGGGCTGAATCCTCAACCCAGAAATTAGTGCTAAAAAGAATGTTTTGGAGCCAGTTAGAAAAATTTGAATATCTGTTAATTTGATGATAATATTAAATCAATGGTAAACGTTCAGTTGTTGAAAATTATACTATTATAATTATATCAATGAAACATCTTGCACTTGCAAAAGTGAGGAAAAGTGGACATATGTCTGGAAATTATTCTCAAATAATTTAACAACAAAACTTTATATGGAGAGTGAGAGAGAGAGATAAAGACAGACGAACCCAGAGGCTGGGGTAAATGTGCCAAACTTTTAACATTTGATGAATCTTGGTAAAAGGTATACAGGAGGACTTTGTATTATTCTTATAATTTTTCTTTAAGTTGGGAAGTATTCTAAGATGCAAAGTTAAAAACTTTATTTCAAAATGTGAGTTGAAGCAAGTGCTCTATTTTATATTAAATTGACCAGGTCTGCTCTCACCTTTGGCTTTTAAAACAACAAAAAACGTTCTATGATAAACTTGGCCACTGGCCACTTGCCTTCTTGAAGGAGAATTTACTCAATGACGATTAAAGCTAGGTACAAGAGGTACAGGAAGTAATTGTCCTGACTATTTGAGAGTCATAGGATTCGTGCATCAAACAGTAAAGCATTTAGTTAGAGCATGTAGTCAACAGAGAGAGTTTTGTGAAGTTAAGGGCTACCAGAAACTTTCTGCTTACCCCAGTATAAACTGACCAAGGTCCCAAGGTGCTTCTGTAATTAGCTTTCCACATTTTGCCTCTTTCTCAGGCAATTGTCCTTAATGCTTTTATTTCCCCTCCCCCCAAATAATTCCTCCCCATCTTACTGCCTTTAAAACTCCTCCTTTATATACTCTACTGCTGCCATGCTAATTAGGTTACTCTTAATGTCCCCTTCCATTTTAACTGTCTGATTTTTTATAATAAATGACAGTTCATTAAAGTCTATAATTTGAAACATCAGGGAGAAGAGCCTGTCTGATAAATAATATTTAGCAAATGTGTTTTGTTATATTCTTTTGAGCAAATGTCAATTAGAATTTAGCTGTTGCTTAACAAAACTGTCTCAGAGATTAGTGTGTTAGTGGATATTTTTTAGTTTTTCACAGGTAACATACTAATTTTCGTGATGAAATAAACCTGTTTTCCCTAGATGGTTAGAAAATCTGTTTGTTCCATATAAAACTACTTATTACACACTTACTAGACAAATTCTTTTTCACACAAATAATTCAACATTTATTACATGGATTTGTTGGGTACCTACTGTGTGCCAGGCACTATGATAGTGGGCCTTGGGTCTACATCCAGGCAGATGGTTTTCATGGAATTAATACTTAATAGGGCTTAATTCATTGTTATAGTATATCTTTGATTGGGAGGTTAGGAGGGTGAATCATGAAAAGAATTATCTCAAATTGTTTATTCTGATTTAACATAAAGCTTCTTTACAGTACTTACAGATCATCAGTATTTGGAAAAAACACCTTTATGTGCCATTTTAAAACAAAAAGCTCCTCAACAATATCGAATCCGAGCAAAATTAAGGTCATACAAACCAAAAAGACTTTTTCAGTCTGTTAAGCTTCATTGTCCTAAGTGTCATTCACTGTAAGTATTTTCCTGTCATGCTATTTGTACAGGTATCTGTACATAAATGTAGTTTTAAGTCCTGAGAGTAAGTAAATTATGATTTCATGTAGAATATTTTGAAAGAATGGTGATATTTTACAGAGAAAGTACTAACTTCTTAGAGGGTAAATCCTTCTGGTTCAGTCCTATTAACAATAAGTAAAAGTAAATATTATTTTCAGATCTGAAATAGTGCTCAGTGGCTCTGATAAATTCAAATGATAAATAATACATTATGAATATATTTGTGAGGACTTTCATTTGGCATAAAAATGTCTTTGTAAATATAAACATTATTAACTAGAATTCTTAAAGAATTATAAGTGGTTAAAATTATTAATTTAATGATGTAGGAGCCTGTTGGAAATCTTTCTGCCCTTTTAATAATTACAATATAATAAATGTAATTTAAATTTTTATTAGTAATTAAGAATTTCTCAGTGTCGTAAAGTCTTTATTACAAGTCTTTATTACCAATTATTATGTAAATATATAAATTTATGGGACTGTTTTGTAATCTTATTAGAATGAACTCTGAAATCCTGTTCATTATTTTAGTGCAGTTTACCTGTCTTCTCTCTAAATACATAAAATATTTTGGATAATGTAGGTAAATGATAGATGGTTATATTTGAATAACAGAAATCAAGCTTTCACTGTGTGTGCGGTAATATGTAAATATATCTATATAGCTATATGTATCTGTGTTTATTATTTGTGAATGTCTGCCTACACAAATATACATGTTTTTCCTTCCAACATCTAAGTCTAATACAACTTAATCATTAAGTCTCTTTTAATAAAAATGTGTTTTCTACCCATTTGATATTGAAATGATGTTTGAGATTTTAATATGTAAAGATTTTAGATAATTCTTGAAATTTAATCAGATTTTTTTCATTAAATTCTGTAAAACCATACAGCTTTTTAAAATAAAATGACTCTTGGTACTATACTCCTCTGTGTAGCCGCCTGCCATTCTATCCACTTTTAATGGAGTCCTAATAGATATTTCCTTTTCTCTTAAAAAATATAAAATAAAGCCATACTCTATGATCTTCTTTTAAGCGAGTAAGGAAAGCATCTCAGACTTTAAGAGATTACCTAAAGTTGCACAGCTAGTTAGTGACAGAACCAGGACAAAGATGGACCTTTTGACTCCATTTCCGTTCTATGATAGTTTACCTAGGTGACTGAAATTGCTAGTGATTTAAAGGAAATTGGAATTAATATTAGTTTAAAATAAGTGATCTATGAAAAGTTAGCTGGTGAAGACAGGGCTGTTGCATTCTTTTTCTCCCAGTAGGAAGTTTTACATTCCTTATAAAGGAGAACAGATTGGTCCTGGAGATAATTATAAGTAACCTCGGTATCAAAACCAGGCTTTGAAATTGTCAGTGTTTACTATAATTATGACATCAGTTCACTTAGCCACAAAATATCAGATAACTTGTGAGCAAAAGCTGCTTAATTTAATTTAAGAAAAAGTACTGACAGTGTTCAAATGAAGATGCTTTTTAATGTAATTATTTGTTAAATTTGAGTGTTCACATTTATACTAAAATTGTTTGTTTCTCATACTTTGTTGCCAATCATTTTAGGCAAGAAGTTCAACATGAAGACAACTTAGATACGATTTTGCAAGATGCTTCAACTAAAGCCCCAGACACCAAACTACACAACACATCATTATATGATTCAAAACTCTGGACCACTGAAGATCAAGGAGGACGAAAAGTAGTTATTCATTTTGTAAAAAATGATGGTATTCTTCCTCTTTCAAATGAATGTCTGATTTTGATAGAAGGTAAGATATTTGTTAGTTTTTTTAGAATACCACTTGAACACGAATTTTTATAACTAATTACTGTTAAATATATTTTACAAGCAACTTAGAACATATAAACTAAAAATACTGTTAGTTTAAATGTCACAAAGTAGAATGTATTCTGTCCAGTAGATTCAAATATGCACACACACAAATTTATCTGACTTGCATCTTCAAATTGTTCATTCAACTCAAGGCTTTACATTTATCCATCTGTGGTTTCATACATGCAGTCTTGTCAATTCCAAGCTGATTATCTAGTTGAGTAACATTCGAAAGGCTGACTGCTATGTACAGTTTGTGCTCCCTTGGCCTCTGGATGTCACTGTTGTTTCATAAAAGTAGGATGAAAGTCATCTGCTGATATCTAAATCAAGAAGGGACATGGGAACAAATGATAACTTGATAAGTTTTAAATAATGAAATTTTATTATGTTTACTTTTTCATTTCCAATTTGGATTATCCTGTCCTGTTATACTGTGTCATATATTTTTTTCTCATGCCAAATTTAATGTTTCATTGTTTTCCTTGAGGCTTTTCCTCCTATATAACTTTCCATAAGGAAAATTTCTCTAATTTGCATTAGGAAAATACTTTGCTTCATTTTTATAAATGAATTATCTTTATCATGATATATTATTTTTACTACTGACATTTTTATTTATAGAAGTAATACATAATCAATTTAGGAAATGTATATGTACATGGCATATTTGAACATCCATGTCATTTTATGGTCATAGCTCCTTTACTTAAATGAAGTTACAATGTGTCAGAAACTACTCTAATTGGTGTCTTGTATTCAATTAATCAACACAGATTTTTAACAACATGTGAGATTTCTTATTTCTCCCCTACCAACATACACTAGCACTTCTGAGAACTTAATGTATTGTCAGGGTTTTCCAGAGAAACAGAGACAGTAGGATGGACATATACATACATAAAGAGACTTATCAGGAATTTGAAATGATTATAAAAGCTAATAAATTCCAAAATCTGCAGAGCCAGTTGTTGCCCATGCCCTGCGTGGGTATGCTGCATGAACCTGACTAAGAGCGGCAGGGAATGAGAAATAAGACACACCCAGATATATAGACATAAAACAGAAAAGCTGGGAACGGGAGGGCTGCACCTTCGTGATGGGAAATGTGAGCACCTATCTGAGCCAGAGTGTTTAATAGGTCAGTACAAGGAAAAGACTCAGGTAAAAATCAAGCTTTAACAATTCTTGATGCAAGATAAAAGGAATGAGGTTTGATGGGCTAATTTTCCTAAGCTAATGAAGCTTAATTACAACACATCAGTTCTGGAATCATCAAAGCATGCAGGACACCTTATGTAAGGTATTGATTAATCTGGCATCAGGGAGTTTCCTAACAGTTTTGGTACTTTAGTTTTGCATCAGGGGGCTGGTATGTGTACACAGCAGGTTATATTCTTCAAGGAGATGTGAGAACAAAGGTCAAGACACCAGGTACTGGGAAAATAATGGTAGAAGAGGCTGTGCAAACTTCTACGTGGAGAGGCTGTGCAAACTCCCATTATATCCCAGTCCAGGATTCATGCCTGGTCTCCAATAAGTTGTGTAGTTTTAGTCTGCAGTCTGGCAAGCTTGAGACCCAGAAGGAGCCAATGTCCAGTTCAAAGGCAAGCAGGCAGGAGGAAATCTGCCTTACTCAGAGGAAGATCAGCCTGTATGATTCTGGTGTTTACCCAATTGGTTGAGGCCTGCCCGCTTTGGGGAGGGGCAGTCTGCCTTACTCACTCTTCCAATTTAAATGTTATTTTCTTTTAGAAACACTCACAGAGATGTTTAACATAATGTTTGTCCAAATGCATGGATACCCTGTGGCCCAATCAGGACACTAAACCATCACACTTGGCCATTTTGTTGGGTGAAACATAGTGTCTTATTCTGTTGATAATATTTTAATCTAAGCTGGGAGATAGATGTAAAAGTAAAACCAAAAACAGAGCTATCCTCCAAAGTGGAGTAAGACAATATGCTTGTGTCACTCAGGTTTTATAAAAGCGCCCCTCAAAAGAAACTTTTAGTCTATCGTATGGTGTTAGGGCCCTGTCCTGTTGTACTTCCTCACCAGAATTCTGTTCTGAAGCCAAGCTGGTCTTTAGGGTCCAGAAAATACTTGAATAAAGGAATCTTCTTGATCCCAAACCTGTCTTTTGTGGCTTTTTGTTTTGTTTTGGTTTGGTTTTGATTTTTGAGGCAGTATCTTGCCTTTTAGCTCAAGCTGCCTTGAACTAGTAGATTCAAGTGATTCTTCTACCTCAGCCTGCCAAGTGCTGGGATTACATGCTTTACCACCAGCTCCAATCCTGTCTTTAATAGGATTATCACTAATCCCATAAACTTCCGTTCTCATTTCCTAACTTTATTCCCATACTGCCCTCCAGCAATACCATTTTGGTGGCACTTTTCTTATCCCAAACCCAGAAGGGTCATCTGGTGTATTTTTCATTCCCTTGTTCTTTCTTTGGGGAATTTCTGCTCTACTACATCTTCAGAAGTAAACTCGAAAATTCTCTTTATTCAGTAATTCATACCAAATGCTTAATGAGCACCTACATTTATCAGTTACTTTTCTGATTCACAAGGCATATGTTAGTGGTTTTTATAACTGTTTTTATTGCACATTGTATATATTTCCAACAGAACCCATTTCTTTTTGTATTGTAGATATTATACCTGTCTGCCTGTTAAACTGTAAGCTGTCTAAAGGCAAGATACATGTTTATTTTAATCTACATATCCTCAATACCTACCTTAGCCAATTACCTAGCATGTAATTGGCTCTCAGTAAATATTATTAAATAAATAAGTACATCTAGCATAATAACTTTACGTTACACAGCTTTTAAAAGAATTAACTGAGAGTTTATGCAAAACTTCTAGAGTATAATTTAGGAGAAAATCTGCATCGCCTTAGCTATTACAGTTACTTTGGAGATTCAATATCAAAGGCGTGATTCATGAAAGAAATAATTGATAAACTGGATTTTCTTAACGTAGAAACTTCTGCTCTGAAAAATATAACAAGCCACATTGAAAGAAAATATTTGCAAAAGATGTAGCATATGAATATATACCAGAATACATACTTCACCCAAGAAGATCTATAAATGACAGCTAAGCATTTGAAAAAATGTTCATTATGTACATTTATGTGTGATTAGAGAATTTCAAATTAGTATAACAAGGGCTTACTAGTACACACCTGTCAGAATAGCCAATATCCCAAATACTGCTAACAAGAAAATGTAATAAGAGGAAATCTGTCATTGCTGGTGGGAATGCAAAATGATGCAGCCACTTAGAAAGACATTTTGGCAGGTTTTGTTTTGTTTTGTTTTTACAAAGTCAAACATTTTTATCATATAATACAACATTCATACCCCTTGATATTTGCCCAGAGGAGTTGAAAACGTACATGCACAAATAAATCTTCATATGTATGTTTATAGCATCTTTGTTCATAATTGCCAGAACTTAGAAGCATTCAGGATACCCTTCAGTATGTACATGGATAGATAAAACCATAGTTCATCCAGACAATTGACTATTATTCACACTAAAAGAAATGAGCCATCAAGCCATGAAAAGATACAGAGTTTTACATGCATAATTCTGAGTGAAAGAAACCAATCTGAAAATGCTATGAAGTGTATGATTCTATCTATGTGACTTTCTAGAAAAGAAAAACTGGGAGACAATAAAAGACAATAAAAAGATGATAGGTAGAACACAGGATTTATGGATCAGTGAAAATAGTCTGTTATGATCAATATAGGTAATTTTACATTTGTCCAAACCAATAAAATATGTTACCAAAATGAAATCCTACTGTGAACTGAAGACTTTGAAACAATTATGATATATAAAGTGGGCTCACCATTTTTAACAAATATTACCACTGTGATTGGAAAATTTTGATACTACTGGAGGCTGTTTGTGGGGATGGTAGGGGTATGAGAAACCTCTGTACCACCCTCTTAATTTTGTTTTGAATCTAAAACTAGTACAAAATAACAAAACTTTTAAAAATCATAGGATGTACTACACCAAGAGTGAGCCGTAATGGAGACTGTGAACCTTGAGAAAAATGACTTGTTAATAAGATCATAAGGTGTACTAAATGTACCACTCTGCAGAAAGATGCTGATAGTGGAGGAGCCTGGCAAGAGGGGGAAGGTGTATATGGAATTCTGTACCTTATGCTCAATTTGACTGTAAACCTAAACCTGCTCTGAAAAGTGAAGTCTGTTTTTAAAACAAGAAGAAAAATGAGTTATAAGAAAGTGTTTTCAATTGAAAGAAACATGAGAGTGTAAACTGTTCTTTTATTTCAAAATATTGTAACCTGAACCAGAGCTAGGATTTAACTGCAATATGACACTGCTCTGCTTAGGAACAGGCAACATCAAAAGTTGACCTGCACTTAGAGGTGAACCAGAGAAAACAGAATGAATAAAGTCATTGGAGAATGTGAGGATCTCTAGCAGCATCTATGACAGTCATGCCAAGTTACTGGGCTCATCTAGGCCAGTTATATGATTGTAACCTATATTCTATATAGACCCTATGGAATCATCACCTACATTAGGGTTCTCTCCTTGTGTTTGTGTTTTACTGTTTTTTGGTTTTTTTAAGGTCTTGACATGCAAAATGCCATGTACCCACTATTACAACCTCATACAGAGCAGTTTCACTGCCCTAAAAAATCTCTTGGTGTCCACCCATTCGTCCTCTTCCTTTATACCTCTAGCAACTACTGATCTTTTTATTCTTTTGTTTTACCTTTTTAGAATGTCCATATTTTCTCTTAATCATCTTCTGAAAGTTTTAGAGTTTTATATTTTGCATTTATATTTAGATCCATATTTAGTTTTGTGTCCAGATTTATTTTTTCTGTATGCAAATGTCCAATTCTCCAATATGATTTGTAGGAAAGACTGCCCTATCTCCACTGTATATTGCCTTTGCTCTTCCATCAATGATAAGTTGTCTCTTGTAGGTTCTGTATTATTTATTATTTTTGTATGTGTCTATTTTTTTTTACCAGTACCACAGCCATTATTGCTATAGCTTTATAGTAAGTGTTGAATTAGTCCTACAGTTTTATTCTTCACAGTTGTGTGTTGGCTATTGTGGGTCTTTTGCCTTTTCTTGTGAATATTAGAACCAGTTTGCCACTGTCCAAAAGTAACCTGCAGGGATTTTGATTAAGATTGTATTGATTCCATAGATCAAATGGGAAAGAATTAAAATCTTGGTGGTGAACATGGAATATGTCTTTTCTGTGAACATGGAATATGTATCTATATAGATCTTTGAGTTCTTTCATCAGAATTTTAGAATTATCCTCATTTAGATCTTATAAATCTAGCAAAATTATTTTGTTTTAAATCTGAATATTTTACTTTTTAGTGCTAGTTACTACTTTTTAATTCAAACTCCAAGTTATTCATGTGTTTGCAGTTAGCTTGTGTAAATTAACTTTGTATCCTACAACCTTGCTGTAATTGCTTACTAGTTTGTTTTTGTTGTCCTTGTTCTTCTTGATTCCTTATAGCTTTCCTGTAAACAAAGGCAGAAACCTTTCTTCTTTATGCATAACCTTTGTTTTCTTTTCTTCTTTTATTGCATGAGGTAGGGCTTCCAGTATCATGTTGAGTATGATTGGTAAGAAGGAACAGTCTTGCTTTTATCCTGATCTTATGTATGAGTTTAGCTGTAGCTATTTCTGTTTTATCAGTTTGACAAAATTTTCCTTTATGTCTACTTTTTATCATTAATAAGTGTTGAATTTTGTTAAATGGATTTTGTTAAATGTACCTATTACTGTGATCATATGATTTTCCTTCTTTGTTCATATGACAGACAAATTATGTTAATCAATTTTTGAATGTCAAATCAGCTTTGAATGCACAGAATAAATTTCATTTATGGTGAATAATTATTTTTACACATTTTTAAATTCTACATCCAAATATTTTTTTGAGGAGTTTTGCATCTGTGTCTTGAGAGATACTGGCTTGTAATTTGCCTTTCTTTAAATGTCTTTGGCTTATGTTTTAGAGTATTGCTGACCTCATAAAATGATTAGGAAGTGTTGCTTTTTTTTTTTTTTTTTTGGAACAGGTAGTAGAGAATTGGTATCATGAAATATTTGGGTAGAATTCACTTTTGAAACCATCTAGCCCTGGTACCTTTTTTAAGTTGCTGTCGATTCAATTTATCTTAGAGTCCTTTTCAGATTCTGTTTTTCCTTGTGTGACTTTTGGTAGATTGTGTTTTACAATAGAGCTTAGCGCTTAATGCAGGGAAGAGGGTTCGAGACAGGATCTTTCTATGTAGCCCTGTGTGCTAAGTACTATATTATACACTTTAATATTTTATGTTTAATTCTCATAACAACTCTACACACTAGGTATTACCATCTCCTTTTTAAACGAATGAGGAAGCTGAAGCCAAGTAAAGATTATAAATAGCCCAAGGTTAAAGATTTAGTAAATGTGAGAAAAAAATCAAACTCTTAAGCCTTCATACTCTAAGCTGAAATCTTTGTGCTCATTTTAAGTAGATTGCTTTCAGTGAGAAAGTTTCTAGTTACAAACTTTTCTTACCCTGCTAGTCACATGTATGGTTTTAAGCATCTTTCATTCATTCATTTAGCATAATTTTATGAATGCTTAGGAATTGAGTTAGGCATTGGTGGCATTGCAGCCACGAAGACCAAGAGTTTCCTTTCATGGACCTTGTATTTAAGAGGGAATCACAAAGACTTAATAATAATAATAAGAGTCACACATGGCTCTAAGTGCTTTATAAATATTAACTCATTCAGCCTTTATAATGATTTTATAGAGTACCAGTATTATTATTATTATTCTCAGTGTTACACATGAGCACACTGTTACACCAAAGTTTAAATAATTTAACCAAGTCATTCAGCTTATGTGCCAAAACCATTGTTGGGCAGACCAGAGCAAATGGCCAAACAGAATGGTCAACAGATTCTTTGGAATGGTATTTGGCAGAAGAGAGGAGAGAAGGGGGACACTCATGAAGAAAAGACCTGGTGAGTGGTCACTTATTGCAATTTGAGCAGTAAGCAGGGGTTTGTTTAAGCAGGACTAAATATCAGTCCCTGGAAGACAGACTCTAGCTTTTGCTGTATGAAGCTTTTCAGTCACATGCCTACAGAACAGTGTTTTGAGTTTAAAGCTGGCATGATTAGATCCTACGATCTTACTGCAGTATGACACAGCAGAGCTGTGGTTTCCAGCTAATGCAGAGCTGGGGAAAGGAAGATGGAAAGAGGGCAAAATAAATTCTACCAAGCTCACCATTCTTACCATGACTTAATCATTTCTTTGTTTCTGAAATGAATACTCATTGGATTAGTGCAAGCTTCTGGTGAATTTCCAGAATTCTGAAAAGGTAAATTTTGAGGTTTATTTCCCCAGTGTTCTTATTATTTTTATGGAAAAATGTGTTTTGTGATGTACTTACTCTTCTATTCCAGAAACTTTAACATTACATATTTTACCACAATTTTAGGAAATATTGGGAGGGTTTTTGTTTTGATTTTTTTTTAATCATTCTTCTTCCCTGGAGAGAGGAAATAGTGAAAAGTATAGTACAAAGGGTACCAGTAGGTTTAAGTTTCAAGATAATGCTACCTTCCAGTAGTGGTACACCATGGCATACTGGTTTTTTTAGCCAGCCTAGTGGTTTTAATGCTTATCCTGTCATAGAATTAGGGGAAGTGTGAGGATGATCCGGGGAGAAATGAGCAAGCACTACACTTGAGTTTATGTTATATGAGCTACACTTTGTATCTGTATTTAATGTTCACCTGAAAATTTTAAAGATTTAATTAAAACTCTAAATTTATTTAGACATCAGTACTATATATCAAGTTTAATAGTGAGACTCCTGTCATACTTTGTCTCTCAACTCTCTTTTGGTTACTTGAACCAAAGTGTTCATGGAATAAAGAGCACTTTGTTTAAACTTAAGAAGATGCCTAAGGCCATCTTCTTAAGTGCACACTTGAATCCCAGCTACTCAGGATCTGGAGGCAGGAGAACTATAGCTCAAGTCTAGCCCAAGCCAAAGTCAATGAGATCTGGTCTCAACAAAAAGCTGGGCATGGTGGTACATGCCCGAAATCCTAACTACTCTAAAGGTGAAGGGAGGAGGATTGCAGTCAGAGACTGCCCCAAGCAAAAACTTAAAATCCTATCTTAAAAAAACCCTCAGGACTATGGGGCATGACTTAAGTGGTAGAGCACTGCCCTTACTTCAAGCCCCAAAACCACAAAAAAAAGATGGCTAAAGTTTTACAAACCTTATATTTTACTCAAGTCTCAGCATTTTTTATTCAATGATTTCTTTAATATGTAGGATACAGTGTTGTTAATAGAAAAATGAGACCTGTTGAAACTATTTCAGGAATGGGGGAGAGGGGATAAAGGAGAATGATGGAGAGGGTGAACTCAACTATGATATATTGTCAGAACTTTTGTAAATGTCACAGTGTACCCCAGCTCAATAATAATAAAAAAAATTTACAATAAATGTGTCATCTAAATTTATGACTTTCATTTTTTTGTCAGTCTCTTTAGTGTTTACTATATCTTATGTTACCTAATAGGTACTGAATTTTGCCTATTATTTATACTACTTGAAGGGTTTCTTTTTTCTTTTTAATAGGTGGAACACTCAGTGAACTCTCTAAACTGTCAAGCAAGTTTCATAGTGTAATTCCTGTGAGATCTGGCCAAGAAGACCTGGAGATCCTAGACCTTTCAGCACCATTCCTTATACAAGGAAAAGTATATCATTATGGGTATGTTTTCAACTTAGGAAATTGAAAACTGACTTTTTATTATTTTATCCACTGGTCACTGTATGTTCAGCAGATACTTGCTGAGTGCCAACTATGTACCACCAACAGTTCCTAACTTACTGGCTTGATTTATGATTTTTTGATTTTGCAATGGTACAAAAGCAATAAACATTCAGTAGAAACCATATTTTGAATTTTGATATCATCCCAGTCTAGTGATATGCACAGAGTTAGACATAGATACCAAGCTGGAGCTCCTGGTCAGCCACAAGATCATGAGGCTGAACACCAGAAAGTCTATATAGTACATTGTTACTACAGTAGGTTATATGTATTGAGTACATTTTTGATTCATGGTATTTTCAACTTATAATAGGTTTAGCAGGATGTAGCCCCATTGTAAGTCAAGGAATACCTATACTAAGTTTTCTTGGTCTATTTCTATTCTTTTGATAAACATACATACTCAACTAGGTTTATAAGATACCAACCAGACGTTGAAACCTCTGGTCTTTCACAGCAAGGATGTAGTGAAAGAAAAAGTCAGAGCTTCAAACCTAGGTGATTGAATTTGCTTCTTCTGTAGATTGGAAAATAAAATAATACATTAGGTTTTACAGATTTCTAGATTTGGAAGGTGGGGAAGGCTGGTAAAACTTCCTCTACTGCCTGGTGAAGTAATCACTCTGGAAATGTTTCTGCTTTAAGAAGCCTTTCACTATAAAACGAATTTACCTTCTTATCCTATCTGTCCTTCTCCTTTTCCTTCTCCTAAGTTTGTTGCAGTTGTTCTTCATTGTAAATCTTCATTTGCATTGAAAAATTCCTGCCATTATCATATCTCCTTGATTGTGATCCCTAGAGTCACTTGTGTAGGCATTGCTGTGCTTTTTGGCCCATATACAACACATTCAAAAGCTTCAGCCATGAAGTAAAATTAATATACCACTGAATTAAATCCCCAGGTTAATTACTGTTTTTACTCTGATGTGCCCAGTATTTTCATCTCTCTCCTTAGATTCAGTACCTCAGAGTCATCTTCTGTAAGACGTATCCACTAATTAGTTAAAAAAGTCAAAACCTATAAAATTCTGTTTGTTTCATTCTAGATTCCATGACATAGGCTCCCTTTTTTGTCCACACGCTCGTCCTCACACTGTTTCATTTCCCCTTCTTTTATCTTGCCTTCCTTGTGGAGGGTGCCTTGTTAAGTTAGTTATAAACTCTAGAAAGTAACATCCTCATTTACTAGAAGTCTGAAGAAAAAGTTCTTTTAAGGTTCTCACTTTTTTAACCAGTCTCAGTATGAACCAAGACAAGTCCTCTTTTCACTTCAGATTCAGATCTTAAGACATTTTTAGATTTTTCTGGTACTTGAATATCATCTGTAAAAGCCAGCATTCCTTTCGACTTACTTTTTTGTTTGTTTTTAATTATGAAATAATTTTAAATTTCTTAAAAATACCAAAAATAACGTCAGAACAGTTTTGTACTCACTACCTAAATTTAACAAATGTTTACTTTTTGCCATTTTTCAGACCTGTATGTTTAAAGAGTTAAATTTTCAAGTGAAGAAATAGGTCCTTATACCAGTCCCTTCTCTAACCCTTCCTTCTCAAAGGTAGCTACTTCCCCAACCTTGGAGTCAGTCCTCATCATTGTTTTAATTCCCTTATTATAATAGATGTGTGTGGACTCTAAAGCAGTATAGCATGTTATTTTGTTCTTTTTAAAATACAAGATGAGGAAGCTGTTTTACACTATGCCTGCTCTTTTACAGCTTGCATTTTTTTTTTACTTAGTGTTATTTTCAAGATTTATCCAAATTGATGCATGTAGCTGTGGAGTTAGGGTATTTATATATGTATATTATTTTATGAATTTGTCATAATTTATTAGCCATTTTCCTATGAAAGGTCAGATTTTATTTCTGTTTGTTTCATTTACGGATGATAATGTTTAGTGAAGTCCTGTTATGTTTCTTATATTATTTCTCTTATCATAAAATCAGTTCAGTGGGTAATGACTAGCAGTTTATTTTCAATGTCATAATATGGCTGTGTGAAATAGAATGAGAGAATGGAGAACAGGGAACATCTTACATAGTAAGTGTCAGTGCTGTTGCCTAAACTTGTGTTTCAATTGTAGTATGTTTATACTATATATATAGTCATAGTCTAAAATGAATTATATAATAGGTCATAGTCTAAAATGAATTTTTTGCTGAGTCCTTGCCAGATATGTTACTACTATTTACCAGTTGTTGGAATTACTGGATCATAGGTATGAATATTTTTTACTTTATAAGAAAAAACAAATTATTCATCCAGTGGTTTTTAACAATTTATGATCTCATCAATATTTATAAAATTTTCAATTTCTAACTGAGCATGGTACACTTGCCTGTAATTCTAGCTACTCAAGAAGGCAGAGGCAGGAGGATTACAAGTTGAGGCCAGTCAGGAAAAGTTAGTAAGACCCTCCCGCAAGAAACAAAATACAAACAGAAGGCCTAGGAGTGTAGGCCTTTTGAGAGTTAGAGTGCCCTGGGTCCCATCCCCAGTACTGCAAAAAGAGAATCTTCCAGGTTCCTTCCAACACTTGATATTCATCTAACTTGTAATTTTTTGAGCTTCTGATGGTATCTGTGGAGGTTTTTATTTAGATTTCCTAAATGCCTAGCAGGTTTAAGCAATATTTAACACTCGGTCCTATTCTGTTAATCCCATGTTCCCATCTTTTGCCTATTTTTGTATTCATTTGTATTTTACTTAGATTGTTTTTTAGTCATTATGGGTCTTTAAGATTTTTCAGTTTTGCTTTATCCTAGAATGAATATTCAGATTTGTATATTTTACAGAGTATGTTTAAAAATAATACGTATTCTGTAATAGTTGAGTGAGGTTTTCTTTTAATGTTCACTAAATCAAGGTTCATAATCATAACCAAAACTTCATTTCCTTTCATAATGTCCAATCACTTTTAGACAGATTTTTGTAAATATGACTGTGGCCTTTTATTCTGTCACCATATGCCTTATATATTTTGAGGCTCTTTTCTTCATTTAGGTACAGTATTATTTTTCTTCCTGGTAAACTCAAGATTCATCTTTCTGAATACACTTACATAAAGTCATTTTTCTGCCATAAGGTTTATTTTTGCTAATATTTTTGTTACCAGCTATTTTTAAGTTAGTAATTTCTTGGATTCCCTTTGCTTTCAAGCTTCGTTTTCTTATGATTGTAGTATGTCACTTGTAAATAAAAGCATATGACTAAATTTCATTTATTTTTATCGAGTGAGTTCAAATATTTTGTATATATTTTTATTGCTTCTACTTATCACATTTTTACTATATTAAAAAATACCTTTTTTTCTTGTCTTGTGCTGGTTTACTTTCTTTTTTCCTTTTTTGGTGGTACTGAGGCTTAAACTCGGGAGTCTGCTAAGCAGGAGCTCTACCACTCAAGCCATGCCCTCAGCATTTTTTGCTTTAACTATATTTTTGGTAGGTTTCACCATGTTTTGCTTGGTCCAGCCTGGACCACAGTCCTCCTACTTGTGCTTCCTATGGAGCTAAGAAGACAGGTGCTCACCACCATTCCTGCCTTATTTGTTGAGATGGGGGGTCTCACTAACTTTTTACCTGGACTGGCCTCAAGTCATAATCCTTCACATCTCTGCCTCCCAAGTAGCTGGGATTATAGGCGTGGAATTATATGCCAAGCTGTGGATTGATTTTTTCTTTTTAATGGTTCCAATTTTCTTTTTTTAACTTTTTAATTTGGAAATAATGAATTATCTAATTAAGCTTAATTTTGAATTAATATACTTGCTTTGTCAGTGTCAGTGCTAATTAATCTGAGTCCTTTTTTGTTTTATGCATAATACCTTTCATTCAGTTATCTTTTTTTGGTTCTTATTAAGAGAAGAGACATCTATGTACTTGGTAATTAGGTGATAAAATTTAATATAGTTACCCGCAGTTTTCCCCAAAGTACAAATAAAAAGGAATCTTTTCCATTTTTATTGTTTTGTTTTACTCACACGTATTGTGCAAGGACATTGTCTTACCGTACCTCATGCACAGAATGATGATGTACTAAAATTTCATACTTAAAATATGGTGATATATAAGGAAAGCAAAATACCCATATCAAATAAGAACAGATTTAATAATTGTGTGCTTTTATATGTATTTACAGTTCAAAACATTAATATTAGGTCTCTTAACTATAAGTCTCCATATGTGTCTATAAATATATTAATTCCTGAATTCGGACTGCTTTACAGGACAGTTTTCTCCTGTTGGTTATGTAAGACTTTAGCTATTAGATACTGCTTGTAGAGCCATAAAATCAGAATTCTTACAACTTATTTCTCCTTCAGCCTTTTGTTTTAATAAACAAGGAAACTCACAGCCAAATTAATGATTTGGACCTGGAATCCAGTCCCAAGGTCTCAACTTAAGAGTTGTTCATTCTGAACTCCATAGTATCTTTCTGTGTAAAAGGCTTATATTTATAATTATCTTTTGAAGCAAGCACATTATAATATAATAGGGTATAGCATTTTTTGTTCAGTAATGTACTTTATAAAACTACACATGCTTGAACAGCAAAAATGTTATAAGAATGGAATGATTTAAATTATTTTTAAATATTTATTATTTTTCTGTTATAATTTCAGATGTAAGCAATGTTCTAGTTTACGACCAATACCAAATTTGAACTCCGTTGTCGATAAAACATCATGGATTCCTTCTTCTGTGGCAGAAGGTCAGCCAAATTTTCCTGTCCTGCAGTTTCAATTGTCTGTGTGTTGGGTTCATCTCACTGATTGTATTTCAATATTTGTAGATATATAAGGCTGACCTAGTTTAAATTTTGTTAAGTAAAATTACAGTGATTGTAATATAAATGCAGAGTAAATTTTTTAAATACTTGCAAAGCCACTGTCAAGCATCTGTCAGTGTTTTTAATATTTTTAATATTGTATATTTTAATATGCAATAATTTGTTTTCATTGATCATGAATACAGGTTCTGAAAATTTTCTCCAGTGTATGGTATCGTTACATTGACAAAGGTTTTAGAGGCAGCTGTTTCTTTTCTCCCAATACCAATCTTTAACTAGAACTAACAGAATCTTTTTATATTGCATTCTTCACTGTTGTAATCCATCCTTTGTTTAAAACTCTTTCAGTGACATGATACTCATTACATTGTAAAGCAGAATATTTCATTAATTTTGAAGAAGTTCTTAATATTGACTCATTGTCTACCTAACTATGACTTTAGTATGGGCCAAATTCTGTCTACAAGAATTACTCAGAGTATGTCCATTTCCTCTTCTATAAGATAAACAGACTTAGTACATTTGACATCTATCAAGCCTGCTTTGAATCTTTATTTCTTCAAGCAGGTACCCTCCCTTTCTTTAGGAGTTTTCTACTTTCCTTGCTATTTTGTCTCTTAATAAACACTACACTTTGCTGATTATCCTTTTTAAGGCTTGCCATTCAAAGCTTAACAGAGAACTGCAGATGTAGGTTGACTGATTCAGAATATGGTGAAAAATCATTATTTCCCCAAAACTGAGCGCTCAGCTTTTTTCTACTAGACTGAAATTTCAGTATATAAATATATATTTGTGTACTTGGTTGTGTTTTCTTTTTTTAAATCCAGCTGTATGATATTACTGTCTCATATTTTGTTATCATATGAAATTCACTTGTAGCAGTCAAATGACTTTCTTGATATCAGACTTGCCCTCCTCACTGTGTTCTTAATGTAGTTTTCTTGATTGCTTGTGTGGCCCCTCAGCATAAAGTTTAAGTTGAGTCTTCTTGGTTTTAGCTCAGATTTAATGTTTTCAGACATTTTGAAGCCTAAAAAAAACACCTCTTCTATAGTATTAATAGTATCATTTCATGTTTAAATTCTTACCTGTAGGACCTAGCATGTCTTCTTACTTGCCTCCTTAATTAGTCCTACTGTTTGAATGCGACTTTCTTAGATGGGAGCTACCATAACATTCTATAAACATTCAGTGTCTACCTCTTCTAAACATGAAGGTGTTCATCTTACCTATGAATTCTCATGGAATTTAACATCTGCAAGTTCTTCCTTCCTCCTCATCTTACCAAATTGTGAAATCCCAGATTCTGACATTTTTGTTCAAACAAGTGATATTATCTCTTAAAAAACAATAATGGATACCCAATTCTTAAAACACTATTTTTTAGAACATCCTGGTATTTTAATTTGATCTTTAATAAGATTAGCATGTAATGCATTTTATCTAGCACTTTTTATGGTTTCTATAAAGGTATAAGGGCATGTTAAAGATAAAATAATATCAATCAAAGATACAGTTGTTTATGAGACATTACCTCTATGTAAATACGGTGGAATGTTCCAAAATAAATTTGAGTGCATTTAATAAACTGCATATTAGAATTAAACTGTTTTAACTTTACTTTGATAACAAAGGACAGCAGACTCATGGTTTACTCTTTTTTCCTTCACAGCACTGGGTATTGTGCCCCTGCAGTATGTGTTTGTTATGACATTTACTCTTGATGATGGAACGGGTGTGTTAGAAGCTTACCTCATGGATTCTGTAAGTAACAGCTAGTGAAGATATTTCTAAATTAAAAATAATATTTAAAAAAAAATTATTGCATTTTTTCATACCTTCTCTGTTCCTAAAAGGATTTAAGGCAATTTAAAAGTATAAGTAAAATAAAGCACATAAATCTAAAAGTATCTATCTGTTTCTCTTTTGATATGAAAATATAAATCAAATATTTGAAAAATGAAAAGTTGAGAAATTAAAATTTAGGAGTCACTCACTTTACCTGGCAGGTAATTCTCCAGAGCCAAAGAGCAGAACTAGGGAAATGCTTTATAGGCATTATTAGTGATCATGATCAAGGTACTTTTTAAACCTTCACATTTCATATTATAAGAAAATAGGTATTTTTACGTGACAGTTTGGAGCAGTTTACAAGACTGCTGTCACTTCCGACACAAATTATAAATTCAGAAGTCCCTGGGTTCACCCTTAATTTTGGTAATTTATAGAGGTTGTCTTCTCCCCATGAAGTTGTAAACTGTTACTTTTCCTGCAACAATGTATAACAATATACAAGGATCATTGCCTGCCAGAGATCTTAACCTGAACCCTGATAATTCAGACTCCTAGTGTAGGCATAACTACCCCGTGCATGGCTGATCTGTCTTCAACCCCTCCTGAGGTCAAGCTGATGCTTAGATATCCTGTGTGGCCCACGGCCCCAAGTAAACACAGTCATTTCCTCCTGTCATGTGAGACATCCTAAAGGCTTAGAGATTGCTCCAACAAGCTAATGGCAAAGACCAGACCTATTATTGTAAGGTGAAATTTTTTTACTTCACACGTTGGAAAGAATCTGAGGTGAGGTTCAGAACATTTTTTCCTCCTGTCTTCACACTTCATTTAGTCACTTATTAAGTAAATATTTACTGTGGACCTACTATGTGACATTTTGTGATGGGGATACAACAGTAGCAACACAAGCAAAATCCTGTCTTCCCTGAAACTTATAATAGGGAAGAAAAAAAAACTGAATAAATGAATACTATGTGTGTAATGCTTTGGGATTTAACACTGGAGTTATTTTCCCATATACAAAAAAGAATTGTGAGCCTCACTGTTTTTATTCATCATTGTTATTATCGTGTCAGAAAAATTAAATGTGAAAAATACACACATACACACCAAAGCTTTTTTAAGATTCAAACAAGCAAATCATATTTTAGACTTCAGACCTGCACTCTGCTTTATGAATTCTAGTTTTAATACCATGAAAAATTCTAGATTATTTTAGTAAATTTTTTTTTTAAGTTTAACATTTTAATCTATAAAAAGAGAACAGAACCCTATACTTTATTGCATTTTAAACTCATCATGATCACTCATGAGAGCTCATCATAGCAGGTCTTTCACACCTTTTTTTTTTTTTATTCATATGTGCATACAATGTTTGGGTCATTTCTCCCCCTTTCTCCCGCCCTCTCCCTTGCCTCTCACCCCTCCCTCTCCCCCCCAACCCTCCCTCTCCCCCCCAACCCTTATCTCTAATTTTGCCCTTATCTCTAATTTTGTTGAAGAGAGGGTATAAGCAATAATAGGAAGGACCAAGGGCTTTTGCTAGTAGAGATAAGGATAGCTATACAGGGAGTTGACTTGCATTGATTTCCTGTGCATGTGTGTTACCTTCTAGGTTAATTCTTCTTGATCTAATCTTTTCTCTAGTTCCTGGTCCCCTTCTCCTATTGGCCTCAATTGCTTTAAAGTATCTGCTTTAGTTTCTCTGCACTGAGGGCAACAAATGCTATCTAGTTTTTTGGGTGTCTTACCTATCCTCACCCCTCCCTTGTGTGCTCTAGCTTTTATCATGTGCTCAAAGTCCAAACCCCTTGTTGTGTTTGCCCTTGATCTAATGTCTGCATATGAGGGAGAACATATGCTTTTTGGTCTTTTGGGCCAAACTAACCTCACTCAGAATGATGTTCTCCAATTCCATCCATTTACCAACGAATGATAACATTTCCTTCTTCGTGGCTACATAAAATTCCATTCTGTATAGATACCACATTTTCTTAATCCATTCGTCAGTAGTGGGGCATCTTGGCTGTTTCCATAACTTGGCTATTGTGAATAGTGCTGCAATAAGCATGGGTGTGCAGGTTCCTCTGGAATAGCCTGTGTCACAGTCTTTTGGGTATATCCCCAAGAGTGGTATTGCTGGATCAAATGGTAGATCAATGTTTAGCTTTTTAAGTAGCCTCCAGATTATTTTCCAGAGTGGTTGTACGAGTTTACATTCCCATCAGCAGTGTTAAGAGGGTTTGTTTTTCCCCGCATCCTCGCCGACACCTGTTGTTAGTGGTATTGCTAATAATGGCCATTCTAACGGGTGAGGTGGAATCTTAGTGTGGTTTTAATTTGCATTTCCTTTATTGCTAGAGATGGTGAGCATTTTTTTCATGTGTTTTTTGGCTATTTGAATTTCTTCTTTTGAGAAATTTCTGTTTAGTTCACTTACCCATTTCTTTATTGGTTCATTAGTTTTGGGAGAATTTAGTTTTTTAAGTTCCCTATATATTCTGGTTATCAGTCCTTTGTCTGATGTGTAGCTGGCAATTATTTTCTCCCACTCTGTGGTGTTCTCTTCAGTTTAGAGACCATTTCTTTTGTTGAGCAGAAGCTTTCTAGTTTTATGAAGTCCCATTGATCTATGCTATCTCTTACTTGCTGTGCTGCTGGGGATCCATTGAGAAAGTTCTTACCCATACCTACTAATTCCAGAGTATTCCCTACTCTTTCCTGTATCAACTTTAGAGTTTGTGATCTGATATTAAGATCCATGATCCATTTTGAGTTAATATTGGTATAGGGTGATATACATGGATCTAGTTTCAGTTTTTTGCAGACTGCTAACCATTTTCCCAGCAGTTTTTGTTGAAGATGCTGTCTTTTCTCCATTGTATATGTTTAGCGCCTTTGTCAAAGACAAGTTGGTTATAGTTGTGTGGCTTCATATCTGGGTCCTCTTATTCTGTTCCACCAGTCTTCATGTCTGTTGTTGTGCCAGTACCATGCTGTTTTTTTTGTTACTGCTTTGTAATGTAGTTTGAAGTCAGGTATTGTGATACCTCTACCATTGTTCTTTTGACTGAGTATTCGTGTCCTCTTGTGTTTCCATATAAATTTAACAGTAGATTTTTCACTCTCTTTAATGAATGTCATTGGAATTTTGATGGGAATTGTATTAAACATGAGGATTACTTTTGGGAGTATAGAAATTTTTACTATGTTGATTCTGCCAATCCATGAGCATGGGAGATCTCTCCACTTTCTGTAGTCTTCCTCAATCTCTTTATTCAGAAATGTATAGTTTTCATTGTAGAGGTCGTTCACGTCCTTTGTTAGGTTTACACCTAGGTATTTGATTTTTTTTGAGGCTATTGTAAATGGAATTGTTTTCATATATTCTTTTTCATTTTGTTCAATATTAGTGTATAGAAATGCTAATGATTTTTCTATGTTCATTTTATATCCTGTGAATATGCTATAGCTATTGATGGTGTCTAGGAGCTTTTGAGTAGAGTTTTTTGGGTCTTTAAGGTATAGGATCATGTCATCTGTAAATAGGGGCATCCTTGTCTGGTTCCTTGTTTTAGAGGGAATGGTTTCAGTTTTTCTCTGTTAAGTATAATGCTGGCTGTAGATTTGTCATATATAGCTTTTGTGATGTTGAGGTACTTTCCTTCTATTCCTAGTTTTCTTTGAGCTTTTATCATGAAATGGTGTTGGATCTTATCAAAGGCTTTTTCTGCATCTATTGAGATGATCAAGTGGTTTTTGTCTTTGCTTCTGTTAATGTGGTTTATTACGTTTATTGTTTTTCGTATGTTGAACTACCACTGCACCCCTGGGATGAAGCCTACTTGGTCGTGGTGAATAATCTTTTTGATGTGTTGTTGAATTCAGTTTGCCATTATTTTGTTGTGGATTTGCATCAATGTTCATTAAGGAGATTGGCCTATAGTTCTCCTTTTTGGAGGTGTCTTTGCCTGGTTTTCGGATAAGTGTAATACTGGCTTCATAAAATGTGTTAGGCAGTTTTCCTTCCCTTTCTATTTTGTGGAACAGTTTAAGGAGGGTTGGTATCAGTTCTTCTTTAAAGGTCTGATAGAATTCAGCAGAGAATCCTTCAGGTCCTGGACTTTTCTTTTTTGGGAGACTCTTGATTGCTGCTTCAATTTTAGTTTGTGTTATAGATCTATTCAGGTGATTAATATCCTCTTGGTTCAGTTTTGGATGATCATATGTATCTAGAAATCTGTCCATTTCTTTAACATTTTCGAATTTATCTGAATATAGGTTCTCGAAGTAGTCTCTGAAGATTTCCTAGACTTCGATGGTGTTTGTTGTTATCTCCCCTTTTGCATTCCTGATTCTATTAATTTGGGTTTTTTCTCTCCTCATTTTAGTCAGGTTTGCCAGGGGTCTGTCAATCTTGTTTATTATTTCAAAGAACCAACTTTTTGTTTCATTGATTCTTTGTATGGTTTTTTTGGTTTCTGTTTCATTGATTTTAGCTCTTATTTTTATTATTTCTCTCCTATTTGTTTTGGGATTTGCTTGTTCTTGTTTTTCTGTTAGTTTGAGATATATCATTAGGTCCTTGATTTGGGATCTTTCGGACTTTTTAATATATACACTCATGGCTATAAACTTTCCTCTCAGGACTGCCTTAGCTGTGTCCCATAGGTTCCGGTAGGTTGTGTTTTCATTTTCATTGACTCCCAGGAACCTTTTAATATCCTCTTTTATTTCATCAATCACCCATTGTTCATTAAGCAGTGAGTTACTCAGTTTCCAACTGTTTGCATGGTTTTTGTCTTTACTTTTCTTGTTGAGTTCTAGTTTTATTGCATTGTGATCATGTAGAATGCATGGTATGATTTCTGTTTTCTTATATTTGCTGAGACTTGCTTTGTGCCCTAGGATATGATCTGTTTTGGAGAAAGTTCCATGGGCTGCTGAGAAGAATGTATATTGTGTAGAAGTTGGATGAAATGTTCTGTAGACATCAAGTAGGTCCGTTTGATCTATTGTATATTTTAGATCTAGGATTTCTTTATTGATTTTTTCTTTGGATGACCTATCTATTGATGATAGTTGGGTGTTACAGTCTCCCACAACCACTGTGTTGGAGTTAATATATGCTTTTAGGTCCTTCAGGGTATGTTTGATGAAACTGGATGCGTTGACATTGGGTGTATATAGGTTGTTATTTCCTTTTGGTCTATTTCCCTTTTATTAGTATGGAATGTCCTTCTTTATCTCGTTTGATCAATGTAGGTTTGAAGTCTACTTTGTCAGAGATAAGTATTGCTACTCCTGCCTGTTTTTAGGGACCATTGGCTTGGTACATCTTCTTCCAGCCTTTCATCCTAAGCCTATGCTTTTTTCTGTCTGTGAGATGGGTCTCCGTAAGCAACAAATTGTTAGATCTTCCTTTTTAATCTATTTCATCAAACAGTGCCTTTTGATGGGGGAATTAAGTCCGTTAACATTAAGTTTTAGTACTGATGGGTATGGTGATTCCTGTCTTTTAGTTGTCTTAGTTGTTTGAAGGTTTGATTGTGTGTACCTAAGTTGAGTTTACTCTCTACTCTCTAGCTTTTTCTTTTCCTGTGGTTTGGTGCTGCCTGTCTTTTCATGGTTAAGTTGGGTGTCACTTTCTGTGTGCAGAATCCCTTGAAGAATCTTTTGTAGTGGTGGCTTTGTGGTCACATATTGTTTTAGTTTCTGCTTATCATGGAAGACTTTTATTGCTCCATCTATTTTGAATGATAGTTTTTCTGGGTAGAGTATCCTGGGGTTGAAGTTATTTTCATTCCGTGCCTGGAAGATCTCACCCCAAGCTCTTCTTGCTTTTAATGTTTCTGTTGAGAAGTCTGCTGTGATTTTGATGGGTTTACCTGTGTATATGATTTGTTTTTTCTCTCTTACAGCCTTCCATATTCTTTCTCTAGTTTCTGTACTTGTTTTGATGATGATATGCCATGGGGTATTTCTATTTTGATCTGGTCTGTTTCGTGTTTTGGAGGCCTCTTGCACATGTATGGGAATAGATTTCTCTAGATTTGGGAAACTTTCTGTTATTATTTTGTTGAATATTTTACATATTCCCTTTGCTTGCACCTCTTCTCCTTCTTCTATGCCCATGATTCTCATGTTTGGTCTTTTGATGGAGTCGGTGAGTGCTTGCATTTTCTTTTCACAGGTGTTGAGTTGTTTAACTAGTAGTTCTTCGGTTTTTTCCTTTAATTACCATTTCATCTTTGAGTTCTGAGATTCTGTCTTCTGTTTTTTCTATTCTGCTGGATTGGCCTTTCATTTTGTTTTGCAATTCTGTTTCATTCTTTTTTCTGAGGCTTTTCATTTCCTGAGTCCCTTCCTCTTTAATGTTGTCCTTTTTTGCCCTGAGTTCATTTATCTCTTTATTAATCGTGTTATTTGTTTCACTTTGGTGTTTATACAGTGCTTCTATGGTTTCTTTTATTTCTTCTTGTGCTTTTTCAAATTCTCTATTTTTGTTGTCTTGGAATTTCTTGAGTGTCTCCTTACATTTTGTTTGACCCTATCCAGTATCATCTCTATAAAATTCTCATTGATTACTTGGAGGATTTCATCTTTCAGATTATTCTTGTGGGGTTCATTGGGTCCTTTGGCATAGTTTATCTTCGTTTTGTTGGAGTCTGGATCTGAGTATCTGTTTTCTTCATTTCCCTCTGGTTCCTGTACTAATTTTTTGCTGTGGGGAAACTGGTTTCCTTGTTTTTCTGTCTTCCCATCATTGCCTTTGGTGGTGTTATTGTCCCTGTACTGTGTGCAATTAAGTATTTTCTAGCTTGTAATAATAACACTGATGATATTTAGAATGGAAGGGTTTGAGGACTTGGAAAGCAAAGAAGTTAACGAAAAAGGGAAAAACAAATAAATAAAAAGTAGAGAAAAACAAAACAACAAAAAAGTTTCAAAGATATAAACAGGGAGAGATAGTGTACTAATCAACAGTAAGCTGAATAGGCATTAGAGAGACAGATAATTGAAAATAAAAAATGAAAAATAGAAATAAAAAATAAATGAAAAAAAATTAAATATCTCCAAGTTCAAATGCAATAAAGTTTCAGTCTTAATAATTTTTGTGTTCGTCCCTCATCCTCCAATCCTGGAGATAGTTTCTCAGAAGTAGTTCTTTCGTTGTCTTATCAAAGGGGAAAAAAACTAAAAAAAAACAAAAACAAACAAAGTAACATAAAACTAAAAAAAAACCCACAAAGTGTCCCAAGTTCAAATGCAATACAGTTTCAGTAAGTTTTTCAGCATGCAGGTGTAGTTTGGTTGTTGTCTCATCAATGGTAGGGAGATAAAAACAAGAGTCTATAGACAGTTCTGTGGATGGCTATCTGAGGCTGAGGCTCACTTTCCCACTGCTGTCAGCCTGCTGTTGCTGGTGGCTTTATTTATTCAGATCTCAGGAGTGAGCTTAACACTCACCTGGCCCTGAAGGCTTTGTTTACTTAGAGTTCTTTTGGGCATGACTACACTTATACAAGCTTTCCCCTTTCCAAGCACAGTGGGGGAGGTGACACTTCACCCGCTTTCTCAGGCTGGTGTGTGTATTTACAGTTCACATGGGAAGTGGGCCTTCCCTCTCTCCTGTGTAGTTTTCCTACCACCGCCACTTTTACAAGCTTTCCCACTCCCGGTTGCTGGGCTTGTGCCGCTGCTCCTGCCTTCTCTAGCTGGCTTGTTTTTTTACAGTTCTGTGAGGGATTTCCCTTACCCCGCCCTCTTTGCTATGTGTCTTTTTGTTCTTATTGCTTATTACTCAGTTTCTCCTTTTTTCCCCTGGGTGGGGGTCTGTCCAGGGGACTATGGTGATCTGGCCCAGGGTTGTCTGTGGGAGTACCGCGTACCGCTTAGCTCACCTTGTAGTTCACATTTTCCCAAGCCGTCTGGGCACTGGTGTCTGGCGGCAGCACGGGAGCCCTCCTGGTTTCTCCATTTAACATGAAGTGGTGATGCTCTGTGCAGGCTGGAGGTGTGGAGGGGTCAAAGTTTTGCCTCTTCTTGTTTGTTTTTCCTGTAAGGTGTTCTCCAGTGTCTCTCCAAGATTTTACTTTAGGAAGCATGCTTTCTGCTTCCTCCCTCTAGCAGGCATCTTGGAATCTTGGTCTTTCACTCATGCAAGGCCTCGGCTATGGGTCTGGGACTCAGCTCCCACACCAGCAGGGTTTTGTCTCTCTCGATGGGAACCCCAAACTGCTCCAACACCACCATGCTGCAGTCACAGCACCCGTGCCACTAATCTATTTTAGTAAATTAGATAATACTGAAATACTTCTGTGTTAATTATAACTAATGATTAATATCATTTCCTTTATCCTAATTTTTTCAAGAGCAAATTTTTCCAGATTCCAGCATCAGAAATCCTAATGGATGATGACCTTCAGAGAAGTATGGATATGATCATGAATATGTTTTGTCCTCCGGGAGTAAAAATTGGTAGGCAATAATATTTAACCAATCCTTCTGTCTCTTTTTCTTGAAATAGCATCTGGCTTATACCTAATCTGTGGACTTTATAAGTCTGAAAACTGATAGGCACTAGTGGTTCACACCTGTAATCCTAGCTACTTAAGAGGCTGATATTGGGAGGATCTTGATTTGAGGCCAGCCTTTGCAAATAGTTAGCAAGACCCCTTCCCCAAAATAATCAGAGCAAAATGGGCTAGAGATGTGGCTCAGTGGTAGAGTGCCTGCTTTGCAAGTGTGAAGCCCTGAACTTAAACACCAGTCCTTAATTTTATTATATATAAATGAATCACATATAAATTTAAATAATTTTAATCACAAGCACATTTGACACTGAGTTTGTGCATTAAAACATTTTATTTGAAATTAAACCAAAAGGGGATGGAATTTTGACAAGAACTATTACCTGTAATGAGCAGCATGTATCCAGTTTGATTCACTGATGAACTTTCTATTCAGTGTTAACTAGCCTCAGATTGCTCACATTTTTATATCACAGTTCTGTGAGATTTAGTCACTTCTGCAAGAGCATGTGATCAATCAGTTAGGTCTGCTTCAGATCAGAGGGCAGTTTTTCTTCTGTGTCCATTGTTTCTATATCGGTGAAACTTGCAGATCTGAATCATATTGAGACTATTTGTTTCTTCTCACAATTTTTATCAGTAGTAAAGTTTAGCTGCTACAGATTTAGCTAATTTAATTTTTATGGGTTATTTATTTAGTAGGGCTTATAGCAGCTTTCAGTTTATAAAAATTCTAAAATGATAGAGGAGTTTTTTCATCTGTAACATAAGTCTGTTTTCAGTTTTAATTTGTGATTGCCATTTGAATTATTGTGGCAAGGTTGCTAGAACTAAAATCCCCAGACCTTGGAAGATTTTGATACACATTGACACACTGTTTTTCAAAAACATTTTACCTATTTATATTTCTACCCACGGTGTAGGAGTGTGTGTTTCACTTTACCATTACTAAAATTGATTGCTGTATTAAAAGTCTTTTTGACTTGAACTTGAGGAAACAAAAGTCTTTTCTAGAAGCTATAGATTTGTTGTAATCACAACCAAACCCGGGAAGTGGCATCTGTGGATGAATGCCTGCACTGCCTGGACTGCTACATACCTGCTACTTGCTGAGAGGTTCAGCTGGACAGGTATAAGGGCTTAAGCTGATTTGAAATTCAGATTCAGTTGTTTTTTAGTGAATTAAGAAAAATATGGAGGTCAGCAGGGGAAAGGCATAAAAAAGTGATGAGACAGCTTATTATCATTGCGCTAAAATATTTTGAAAACCCTATACTGAATCAGCTTTGTTGTTAGGAAAAAATCAAATTAGTCTCAACTGCCAGAGTTATTTGTTTACTTTTACTGGCTAAATAGAATTTTCTTTTTGATTTATAGATACATATCCATGGTTAGAATGCTTTATCAAGTCATATAATGTCACAAATGGAGTGGAGCCACAAATTTGCTATCAAATTTTTGACACTACAGTTGCAGAAGATTGTATCTAATATTGCCATTCAACTTAAAATTACTGTAATTTTAGAAAATGTTACTACCGTGAGATCCTTATAAATACAGACAAGACTTGCAATTCACACTTTCATTAATATTTTAGATTTTTTTATAAACATAAATTCTATCTTAATGATGTCTTCTTCTGAATATGTTAAAATGTTCTTATTTCTTATAATATCCAGTATGATAACTTACAGGGAAATAAAAGAAAAGGCACATTAAATAAATAAGCACTGTTTTCATTTGCTATTTACAGTTTGTTTAAGGAAGCAATTTTGTTACCCTACACAAAAAAATCACCCTTGCCAGTTTTTTCATGTATCAGACACTGATTTCTGTATCATCCACCATCCCTAGTAAGATTCCTTTTACTGTCTTGATTTTTATATGAGCAGTGTTAATAATGTCAACACATGTGTGGCATTAAAAGATGTCCTTACCTTCAATTTCTCACCTCTTAGTGGTAAATAGTACCTACTGGTTTTGTTTTTTTGTACAGAGGTATCTGAATAACTTAGTTCTGCCTGAAGAAGTGTTTGTTTCAGAGAGCCACAGTGTATTAAAAGGGTGATTTACTTTAAATAGATGTAGCAGAATTATTTTCTTGGATGCTCGTCTCTTTGACCTCAATTGTGTATCTTGATTGCTTGTTTCTCTCTGTGATATTGGAAATTATTTCATGACAACTTAATATGGTGATGATATTTAGTGACTTGTTTATATTATCTTCTTTAATAGTGTTGTGTAAAACATAATTATATTGCAAATTTTTTAATAACTAAATGAGATGTTAACTCAATATAATAGTCTGCTTTTTATCTGGCAGTGTTTGTCAAATTTAAAATCATGAATATTCCATTTTACACAAACATAACTATATAGTGTATGTATGTATGTATACGTTTGTGTATTTATTTACTAAAACTGAGAGATACAGATCTGCCTCATTCACTGTTAGTGAAGAATAAATAAATGCACACATTTCAACTGTTTCATTTATTTGCTATATGTTGAGTGGTGGAATGGTACAATGAGGCAGAGAATCAAAGATGGTGCTATAGTTTGGATCTTGAATGTGCCCAGAAGTCCATGTGTTAAAGGCATGGTCACTGGCTGTGGCGATATTGGGAGGTGTAGAACCTTTAAGAGGTGGGACATAGTGGGAGGAAAATGGATCATTGGTTGCGTAGCCTTGAAGGGAATATTGAGACCCTGGCCCCTCCCCCTCTCTCTCTTTGCTTCCCAGCTGCCATGATCATGCCTCCTCTGCCATGTGATCCTGACACAGGTCCAGAACAACAAGGCTAAGGGACCATGGCTTGAAACCGAGAATCTGAGCCCAAATAAACTTTTCCTACTTAGAAACGGACTGTCCCAGGTATCTAGTCACAGTAACAGAAAGCTTACTAACAAAGGTATGGCAATGCAGCAGACATTTAGAGCCCTCTACATACCATGCATTTATTATTAATAAAAGTAATATGTACTATTAAAAGCTTTACATAGCATACATATGTAAAGTTGAATTCATGATCTAGCTGGTACCCAGTTTTAAGACTGTTTTCCCTAAGGCATGTACATGTGTTTAATAGAATCATAAACATAATTCTTCATTTTTTCTTTTGTCACATTTTATAGTGGATTAAGTATTTTTCATTTCTGAACACATAGAAGAAACTCATTGCTTATAATAAGTCAGCGTAAGTAACATCAGTGGATAATTCTCTGATTATTTTACTTTCTACTTCTGTTGTGATTTTTTTTTGTCCAAATCTTTCATTTCTTTGATTTGAAAATTTTCATTTTTATAATAATATATCCTTGTTATCTGTTTTGTTATTTATTACCTTTAGTTAATATTATTTCATTATTATTTTGGGATGTATTTTTTCCAGCGTTATTTCCCCTATAAAATAATTCTGGAGACCCTGGGGCCTGATTTCACCATATTCTCTAGAGGTTTTTAGGTGATCAGAATTTTGCAGACCAGTCCAGGCTGCCAAATGCAGATTAGGACCGTCATGACACACTTGTTTGGAAATAATTATTTAATACTTTGATGAATTCCTAGTGAAAGGAATAATAATGTAGGAAAGGAAAACATCTTGTATGATGCTTTTCAGCAAGAATTTCAGGTTCTGTGAATGTTATGAGTCACATTCTAGTACATCACGTTAGTGGAAGGAAAATATCTCATCACCTTTTGGCCCCTGAGAATCTCTGAGTAGTTCCAAATCCTTTTTACTCATGCATTTCAAGAAAAAGGGACTTTGCTAATAAAAGCTGGGCAGGATGATTTGCCTTTGCCCTGTGGTACTTAGAAGTAGTATTAACACTCACTGATGAGCAGGACCCCATAAGTTCACTCAGGTATGTGACATCATATCTTCTTTTGGAGGTCAGGAAGTTAATAATGCTCTGTATTATTTTCCCTGCAGCATTGTGATTTAGGCTGTTAGGCAATTTGAGAACAGTTAGGGTCCCAAAGTCATGATCTTAGATGGGGATAAATGTCTTTTCCATTCAGGGCTGCATTTGATGGGTTGAAAGTGTCAGGCTTCCATTACTGTGATAAGAATGTGTCACTGTACATGGGGGCAGTCCCTCAGATCTGTCAGTTGTGAAGCATGGATAGTTCATAGACATCTCTGCTGCTTTTAGACTAACATAATAACACCTTGATGAATGTCTTTTGTTGTTTTTTACTTCAAATCTAGGTACAGGTCACATGGTATACTGTGCATGTGTATTCTTTGTGTTCTCCTTGAAGGTGCTATATTGTCATTTACCTGGGAACTTAAACCATAGCTACCAAAGAAAACTTCTTAACGTGTAAAAATTGCTTTTATTTCAACTGTGGTGCACAATATTTTGAAGAGTTGGAGCATGTATCTGTTAAAAACCTTAACTTTCCTATCATCCATTAGCAAAAGTGTTACTTCAAATATTGATTAAACAAAAGCATCTTTTTATATACATGCCTGAATCTTTTCTATACCATTAGAGTGTTCCCCCCCCCCCACTTTAGAATATAAATTTCCAGATAAAAGACAGTTGGTCTTTATACGGACAATTCTTCAGATTTTTGCCCTGCATTAAAAGGCAAAGTCCTTCTAGAAATTGCAAGTTTCTTACCCAGGTTAGCTGCTTCATAAGTGACTGTCTGTCCCAAGCTTCCATAACAGTTAATACATATCTGTACATATAGTTAATACAGGTCTCTCATAGCACTTCAGGGAAGTTAAGACATTTTAAAATCAAAATTATTAATCTATAGAGGCAAGAGAAAATGTAGCTTGCAGTAGGCAGGCACAGTTATGGTTTTACTTTTGGGTAGGAAATTCTCTGTGCTTATGAATCAGGCTGTAGATTCCAAAAGGAATCATTGACAAATATATCAGCACAGTGATCAAAGCTTAATGGAAGTTAAGATGAAGAATACAAATACAGGATAGATATTTAAAGGTCAACTCAGGCAAGATCCAAGATGGCATTTAGGGTATGGAAGCAGAAAGCCTAAGCTCCATGACTCCAAAAACCTACCTGAGATGATGGAGCCACACTAGGGTAATTCTGACTTCTTCTAGCTAAAATAATAACTGCCATCACATGAGGTGCAGAAAAAAATTCAAAGACTGACCCTCAAATCAGCTTTAATTGCACCTAACAGCTGCAACCTGTGGCACAGCCAGTGAGGCAGGTTCAGTCCCAGGGAAACCTTCCTCCCCCACAGTGATTTCTCTCTCCTTTTTTTCTTTCTTTCTTTTTTTTCCTTCTCTTCTCCTTCCTCCATCAAGCAGAAATAGAGCAACAACCAGAATCAAATGCTATGACATCCTGAACCCCTAGCCCATGGAAAGACTTCCCCATGCCACTCTGCACTGTGAAATGTTTGCACCCTATCTCCTCACTACTGCTGCAGGCTCCAAACCTGCCTTGCACATCAGTTGGCAAAACAAGCAGGTGAGAACCAAGCACCAGGAGGGACTCCCCTATCCACCCCTGGGAACATAAACCAGTGCAGCCCCTAGGCAGTCTGATCCCCCCAACCCTAACAAAACTGAAAACCAGCAAACTGTAATCTAGCCCAGACAGTGGAGGGGGCAGGTGGAATGCTGAACCTGCCCCAGGAAAGGGGGCAGGGCAAAGAACTAAACTGTCAGCACTCAATCTCAGTAAATAAACATAGGAAAGGTAGTGAAGGCTCAGAGTGGGCAATAGGCACTCCCCAAAGCAGGGCAGGTCGTGGATCACAGAGCTGATCTGAACCACAGAGCAGCATCCAAAACAAACTGTCCAGGCTGGGATGTAGCTCGGTGGTACAGTGCTTGCCTAGCATGCGTGAGGCCCTGGGTTCGACCTCAGCACCAAAAAAGAAAAACAACAACAAAAAAAACCTCTCCCCAAAACAAACTATCCCACAAAACTGAAAAACAAACAGCTAACTATAATCAAACATGGACAGCAGAGTGGGCAGGTGGAACATTGAACCTGCCCCAGAGAAAGAATTTGGGAAAAAGAACTAAACTCTCACTGCCAAACTCTAAATAAATAAACACAGGAAAGGCAGCGAAGACTGAGAGTGGACGGGCGATAAGTCACTCCCTGCAGCAGGGCATGTATGGATCACAGGACTGATCACCTGAGCCAGAGAGCAGCACTCAAAACCAAACTGCCCTGCAAAACTGAAAAACAAACTGAACCATAATCAAACACAAACAGTGGAGGAGGCAGGTCTGAACCTACCCCAGAGAAAGGGAGCAGGGCAAAGAACTAAACTCTCAGCCCTGAACTCTAAGTGAACAAACAGCAATAAGCCACCTCCAAAGCACGGAAGGTAGTGGATCAGATAGCTGATGTCCTGACCCAGAGGGCAGCATTCAAAATTGAACTGCCCCACCTCTCTGGGGGAGAAGTTGACCAAACAGCTGCAGCTGAAGAATAATACAGCTGTCAGCTGTGGAGAACAATAGCTCTGACTACTCTGTATGATCTTGCAAACCTACCACATGTCACAATTTCAATTACACTTGTAGACAGAAGAGCAAAACACTACTCACAAGCCTGGAAGAAGATTTACCAAGCCATTGGCCCCTGGAAACAGGCAGGAATAGCAAGACTTATATCTGACAAAGTAGATTTCAAACTTATATTGATAAATGAGATAAAGAAGGACACTTCATACTAATAAAAGGGGAAATACACCAAAAGGAAATAACAATTATCAACCTATGTGCACCCAATGTCAGTGCACCCAGTTTCATCAAACATACCCTAAAGGACTTAAAAGCATATATAGACTCCAATATAGTGGAAGTGGGAGACTATAATACTGCCCCCCGTCACCAATAGATAAATCATCCAAACAAAAAAATAAATTATAGAACTAAATCACACCATAAATCAAATGGACCTAGCTGATTTCTATGGAATATTTCATCCAACATCCAACAATATACATTCTTCTCAACAGTCCATGGAACTTTCTCCAAAATGGATCGTATCTTAAGGCACAAAGCAAACCTCAGCAAATATAAGAAAATAGAAATAAGCCCCTGCATTCTATCTGGTCACAATGCATTAAAACTAGAACTCAACAACAAAAAAAAGCAGCAGAAAGTACGCAAACAATTGAGAGATGACTACCACATTGCTCAATGATCAGTGGGTCATAGATGAACTAAAACAAGAAATTAAAAGGTTCCTGGAAGTTAGTGAAAATGAAAACATGACCTACCAGAACATATGGGACACAGCATTAGGGGAAAGTTTATAGTCATGAGGACAGAAAGATCTCAAATCAATGACCTAATACTACATCTCAAACTCCTAGAAAAACAAATCAAGCAAAACAAATCAACAACAAAACAAATCAAACCCAAATTAAGCAGAAGGAGATAAATAATAAAAATAAGGGCTGAAATAGAGACCAAAAAAACCATATGAAACAAAAAGCTGGTTCTTTGAAAACATAAACAAAATTGACAAGCCCCTGGCAAATCTGACTAAAATGAAGAGGGAAAAGACCCAAATCAGTAAAATCTGAAATGCAAAAGGGGAGATAACAACAAACACCAAGGAAATCCTGGGAACCATCAGAGATTATTTTGAGATCCTATATTCCAAAAGATTTAAAAATCTTGAAGAAATGACAAATTTCTAGATACTTAGGACCATCCAAAACTGAACCAAGAGGATAATAAACAGATCTATGACACAAAATGAAATTGAAGCAGCAATAAAGAGTATCCCAAAAAGGAAAAGTCCAGGACCTGACAGATTCTCTGCTGAATTCCATGAGACCTTTAAAGAAGAACTAACACCAACTCTCCTTAAATTTTTCCACAAAATAGAAAGGGAAGGAATACTGCCTCATTCTGTGAAGCCAGTATTACATTCATCCCAAAACCAGGCAAAGACACATCCAAAAAGGAGA